CTACGGATGGGAGCGAAATTAGGAGAAGTATCCCTGGTTTTTCTTTTTTTGGGAGGATTCGCAAAAGGGGATGGTTGAGGGCTTGAAGCTGCTTTGTGACTTGGTTGTTGAGTGGGAGAAGAAGTGGATTGAGATGAAGAGGTTAGAGGGGGAAATTCTATATCTGAATTTATTAGAGGGGCAAATCTATTTTTTTGAATAATACTAGTATAGCACGGATTATCAATGACTTTCTCAGCCTCTTTAAATGAAATATTCAGATTTGCCATAGCCTCCTTAGTTCTTAGCTGTTTTTTGTACTCAGGACAGTCACGAAATGTTGAATCATGACTGTTGTTTTTGCAGTAAACGCAGTATACGTTGCAAGCGTGATTATTATCTGTATCTGCAGAACCGCACTTTCTACACCTTCTACTACTCTTACATTGAGATGCTGAATGCCCGTATCGCAAGCATTGGAAGCATTGCATAACTGGGCTAATATACGTTTCAACCGGGCATCTGACTTTGTTTATGAAAACAAATTGTGGCAGCAGCTTACCTGCAAAAGTGACAACTACAGTTTGTGTAGGAACCCGGAGAGAAGATTCTCCATTATTAACGGTTCTAGTCATTCTGTACGCTTTTTTCACAAGGATGTTAGATTTTATGATATTAACTAGTGAATTTTCATTAATAGCCGTATCAACACCTCGTATTAAACCACGCTTCTCTGTAAGGTGGTTGGGAATGTACGCTACAAGATTATTAGCTTCAAATAAGGAATCTTCTATGAGTTTATTGGCAGTATCACCCGAATCAAGTTCAATTTTTATGCGATTACGACCTACCGTGCTAATTTCTAAAATGTGTTTTTCATATTCAGCTAATGCTGCTAATTTTTCTCCCAGCTTCATTGGGTGAAGTCGACCCAAATTTAAGTCAAGGTGTTCTACAAATACAAAGTACGGGCCTGTGTCACTGTTTCTAAATCTGTTGTCCGTATTTTTTGGGCGACTTTTTCGCGATATAGCCGTATCAGTAGAGAGAACATAATCGGGTTTTTCTGTAGATTTGCTAGTGCATGCAGTATCATTCTTTATAGGTTGTATAGGGGTATGTATGTTGTCATGATCACTATCAACGAATATAACATCTTCGCAATACACATTGCTAGGAGTTTGCTGCGGACTATCTTGCGTCAGAGGCGGCGGATCCCCGCCGCCTGGAATGTTGTAGCCACCAGACATCTGTTTACACAGAGCTGGGGCAAAAAATCTGCATGCGACCCAGGAAAAAAAACGAATAAAGTCTACTTACAGTAATTCAGCAAGAAAAGTATGTGTGTAAAACCCAAACCAATAGATAAGAAATCTGTAATTGATCCGCACCACGCTCTAAGGAGACACGACCATATACGACTTATCCGGACCGTGGTTGGAACAAGACTGATTTTTATTATTGTTTTGTTCAAATATAATCACAGTTTTATATTGGCACCCTCAAAATAACTTCTTTTTGAAGCCACACAGCGCTGGAGACGGATCTTCCACTCCTCATAGCAGTGCTTGAACTCCGATACTGGAATAGCATCCAGCTGATCGGTTAGAGCTGTTTGAATATTTTTGGCTGTCCCAAAGGGTGATCTTTTCAATTCGGGAAGAGAAAAAAGTCTCAAGTACCCAAGTTAGCCGAATAAGAAGGCTGAGGAGCCACAGGAATGTTTTGTACAAAAAACTCGTTTATTGACATTGCTGTGAGACAAGGAGCATTATCGTGATGCAATCCCAGTTTTTCTTGATCTGATGGACGGTGGTTAACTCTTCCTCGATCATGCTGACTGTCAACGGACGATCTAAATGCCCAAGATTCCGGCTTCTGTCGTTATATTCATTGGTTCTTGAAGATGAAGGCCTTTCGCTTTTTAGTGCATCTTCAGCCGACTTTCTCCTTTCTAAAAATGCCTTAAGCTAGAGAAAAACCTGGGCTGTTGGCAAAACACCTGATAGCAATTCCGTTGCTCGAAATTGATGTCATTCATTTTTAGAACACACTAGGAGAACATGTTTCACAAAAAAATTGCTACGGACAACCAAATGACTCGAACAAGTTCAAACTTGTACCGACGACGGATCACATCTTTCCCTGTCTCCCCTCCAAGCCCGTTATATACAGGTTGGCGCATCAAAAACGAAACAGACGCATTTACTGACAGCTCAGTTTTTTTGAAAAACGCTCAGACCCGTCGATTTGGGTTTTCGAAGGGGACACAAGTTTGGCAAAAAATTACGTTAGCACGTGCAGCCCCCTAAGCGGGGGTGACACCACCCCCAAAATCTTAAATCGAAAGGGCGGTCGAGTGATACCTTATTTTAAAGGTCTTTCAATTCCCTTTATAATGATATAAAATTAATGTACTTCAGTTCAGTAGTTTTGAAGATTTATTGATTTAAAGCTTAAATAAAACTAATACATCATCATTAGCGGAGATCAATACATTTGGCAGCAAAGTAATTTTAAAATGAAGAATGAACTGACCCGTTAGGCAAGTAAATGTTGAAAATGGCCACCATGACTCTCCATGCAATAATAAAGATTTTGCTCAAAACGTTGCCGCACATTTTGCAATATTTGAGGAGTAATTTGAAGGTACTCATGCACAATTCTTTGTCGCAGGTCTTCTAATGATGTTGGCTCAGTAGCATACATTTTGCTTTTTAAATGACCCCTCATAAAGAAATTCAAAGGTGATAAATCTGGCGATCTGATGGAACCTCAACCGATTCGCAATGTACCGCCGATCATTCTGATTTTCAATTACGGCTGTTAATGCAGGATCTATGGCGTCTTCCAGTAATTCCAAATACAGTTCACCGGTCAAATTTCCAGGTAAGAAAAAAGGTCTTCATTAAGTTCTTGTACCAGGTGAATTTTATACGGATGAAAACTATGGGCCTTTAGAATCCGTTGCACATTACGTCGACTAACACCACACACAGTCTCCAATTTGCGGGTACTTAACGTGGGATCTACATGAACTTGCCCTAAAACCCCCACTTCTATTGCTTCGTTCCTTATGGGATTTTCAATGTTGCGTTTTTTATTGGCGACTAACCCAGCTTACCGAAATTTAGCTACAAGTTCTAGAACATATTTTCGATGCACGTTACTGTTCTCATGTCGCTCATTAAATATTTCTGCTGTTCTATTAGCGCACTGATTATTTCCGAAAAATATTTCGATAATTTCAACTCTTCCTGCTGTGGAATATACCATGGTTAATTTATGTAATAAAGCGGTACAAGTTATTTTAGCAACAATTTTTGGTCAAATCAATCACAAACTATGTACTAAATTCCTATTTAAAATAAGTACGAGATATTTCCTTATCTTTCTTCAAGAAATAACTGTTTTGCCACAAAAAAACGCTCCAATAGCTATTTTCAACAAAAAAATGATACACAAACCATGGTCGTAGTAAAGAAAAGCATTTACTTATTAAGTAAATTATTTTAGTCAAATTTCTTCTGAAAGTAGTGCAAACTAATCTGATGTACCTATTAAAGTCTACTTTAAGCTTTAAATCAATAATTCTTCAAAACTACTGAACTGAAGTAGATTAATTTTATATCATTATAAAAGGAATTGAAAGACCTTTGAAATAAGGTATCACTCGACCCCCCTTTCCATTTAAGATTTTAGGGTTGGTGTCACCCCCGCCCAGGGGGCTGCACGTGTTAACGTGATTTTTTGCCAAACTTCTGCCCCCCTCGAAAACAAAATCGACGGGTCTGAGCGTTTTTCCAAAAAAGCTGCTAGTAAATGCGTCTGTTTCGTTTTCGATGCGCCACCCTGTATACATGTGACGTGTTTCTGTGTATTCGTATATACAGTGTTCAGACCTAATGAAGGAATTTGAATTACACTTTTACATGAGGTGTTTATAGTTTGTTTCTAAAAAAACAGCTTTACAGCTAAAGTGAAACGTAAAGTAATCTGTTACAGGACATTTCTGACTATGAAACTGTATAACAATTTTTGGAAACATATGTATATATTATCCATAAAGGATCTTTAATTAGAACTAAAGCATAACTTTCTGCTTCCTTGATTTTTAGATACCTGGACTGTAGGGGCCTCCGTGTTTCTTTGGTCAAATGCAGCCACTTATGTTGAAATTTCTCTACCTAATAAAGGAATTTGTTTCTGAAAAAGAGCGTTGCAGCTGGAGTGGAATGTAAAGTAATCTGTTACATGACATTTCTGACTATGAAACTGCATAACAATTTTTGGAAATATATGTATACGAGTATAATATTATGAATAAAGTAACTTCAATGAAAATTAAGGTATAACATCTTCTGCTTCCTTGGTATGTAGATACCTGAACCAGGGAGACCTAAACGGTAGAGACCTCCGTGTTTCTCTGGTCAAATGGAACCACTTATATTGACCTCTTCACTGACGTTTCAGCCACTACAATGGACTTTTTCAAAGTACTGATCGAAACCGGAGCCGTTTGAAAGATGTTGGACTGAGATGATTCTATTTGATAGTATATACTTGGTGCGACCTCACCCGACTTCGTATATCTTATCATTTCCGAGATCCCAGTAGTGAGAGTCGAATTTTAAACATACACATAATTTATACGTATACTCTCAAAACCATTAAAATGAGCAATACCTTATGATATCCACTTAACATGTCACTTAGCACATAAAGCATTTAGGCCGCGGCTTTTGGAACCGTTTCGACGACATGGTGCAGGGCATGTTATACATAACGTACTTTATAAGGCTAAAATTGAACAGGACACAGCGCTCTACAAGAATTCGTCCAATATCAAAAATTCACTTGAAAGATAAAATTTGCTGTTAGTATGACAAGTACGCATATTATTAAGTAGGTTCCATTCTCATTTGCTCGCAAAATGTGAACATTGCGGATTTTGAAAGTGCCAGGGCGATATATGGTTTCATTTGGATAGAGATACCATAGAGTTCTATCAATACGAAAACGGCAGGATGAGTTTTAGATGTTATATGTAAGCTGTATAGCATAGCTAGAAACCGAAATATGCACCAAACTTGTGTTCGTTCTTGTTAGACCTCTTAAAACTAAATTACGACATTTATATTATATTACATGCTTTCATTATCTCTCCGTATAATATGATTGGGCTAAAAATACAACACAAAAATATGGTACTTTATATGTTTTGAACTCATATTACTTTTTGTAGATAGGACACGTCGCTTATTTCTCAACAACTTGAACACAGAACTATTTAAAAAAATTCCAGTAGTTTTTCTAGTTACTACTATTGGAGATGTGGAAGTATGAAGATACTTGTAAGTAGATAATGTAGATTTTGGTCTTCTAGTGCTATATTAGATGATAACTTGCCTTAAACTAAAAACTGATCCTGCTAAGTCAGGAATTCTAATATTCAAGAGAGTGTACTACTGCACCTGTCTAAGTAGAATGGAATCTAGTCAAGTTTTTGTAGTATTCTGTACGGGGCGTGGCTTAGTGGGAAAAATCAAGCAGTCCCAAGTGTTAGAGATAATCATTCAAGAATCCATTTTACGAATTGCGAACCGAGCTAAACATTAGAACATATCACCATTATCACTCGAGTTTTGCTTGAAATGAACATTCTTTAGTTATATTGAGGCAGTATGTGATTATTATTAACCTTGAAGGCACTAGGAACTGTTCCCGTGGTGCTTATAAGCTTTCTGATCTCAACGAATCATGGAGCGGTATTGCGGAACAACGAACGAATAGAGAGCGATCCAGTAATTTTCCGTGTCCAAGGTGTGTTAAACAATATACAGAAGCCCCGACAGGAGATCATAGACCATGTTACCAAAGGTAAAGCGACAACTTTTTTTCATATTATATAATTATATTCATTACCAATTCCAATTATCACTTCGTGTGAGGCCTTTCTTCCTGTTTTATTCAATTCGTATAATTTCAGCAAGCTTTACATGCTTGGAGTAATAGTAGTTGTATTTATTGGCCATGTTGACACAGAAGTATGCGAAAAGTCGGGAAATCTCCAAACTGGAGATACTACAGACCAAAATATGTGAATTGCCCTGAACATACCTAAGTCCAAAAGTTGATAGTTTGCGAGACTGTGGCATAAAACTCGGTATAGGGAGGTTTTCTAGAGGGCGCTCGTTACAGCACTATTTCGGTAAATTCTAAGTTGACAAGTTGTCAAACATCATGGAGTATACGTTTGATGATTTTTCTGATATGCATTCAATGTACGGATTGGCAAGATGTATTGCTTCAAAAGCACGAAGATTGTACACTGACAGATTCCCTAATAGACACCTGCCTAATTCAAAGGCTTTCCAAGGAATCGATCAGCGGTTACGAGAAATCATTTGGATTTTAGGTAGATTTGCTCAAAATATGGGCCGACAAAGTGGAGCTCCCAGAACTGTACGTACAGCTGAAGTTGAAAAAAATGTTTTAGATGCTGTCTTTGAAAATCCTACAGTTGGGGTTAGGAATGTAGCTCGAGAATTTCAACTTTCCGAATGTACAGTAAATACCATTTTTCAAGAGCAACTGCTCCATCCATACAACCTGCAAAAAGTACATAGTTTAAGCGCGAATGATGAACAGGCAAGGATAAAATTTTGTACATACCTCTTAAGAAGGATTAACTACGACAATGGTTTTACTTCGTTAATATTAGCAGGATTTGGAAGGGATCGCCGCATTAACTCGTATAATCTTCACATTTACGCAGACGAAAGTCTTCATGCATTAAAACAAACCCGCCACCAAGTACAATTTCAAATTATACTAAGTGACATATAAATCCGAACACCCAGTTTAAATGGTTTTATTTTAATAAAATTTTGTATAAGTACTTAATGAAGCATAATAAGTAAATGATAAAAATTTCAAAATGATTGCACTGCTTTAAAGCCCTTTGACCTTTAATAATGTGTGGATGTACCCTGATGTGCTACGCATTCTCCAACGCGCCTAGGCATGCTTCTGATCAGGTGGTCAATGTCCTCCTATGGTATCTCATTCCAGGCAACCACCAACTCCTCTCGAAGTGCTTCTAGAATCTGAGGAGGACGTTGCAAATTGAGCAATCTCCTACCCATCATATCCCACACGTGCTCAATTGGGGATAAGTCGGGAGATCTTGGTGGCCATGGTAACAATGTGACATCATTATGTTGAAAGAAGTCTAGTGTGACTCTTCCAACATGTGGTCGGGAATTATCTTGTTGGAAAGTTGGATCTGCCAGGGTGTCAAGATAGGGTAAAAGATGGGGTTCTAGAACTTCGTGGATATAACGCTGCGCGTTCATGTTACCTCTGATGAAGATTAAAGGTGACCTGGAACCATAAGCTATAGCACCCCAAACCATAACTCCAACAGTGTGATGAACATGTCTTTCAACAAAAACTGTGGATTCCTCCTTTCACCACGTCGCCTTCTAACCCTGGCACGACCATCGTGCATGCCTAAACAAAATCGAGACTCGTCACTAAAGACAATACTGTTCCATTCCTGATCCCAGAGTGACCGTTGTCTGCACCACTCAAGGCGATTACGTCGGTGTTCTCGAGTTAAAGGGAGGACCCAGTGTGGCCGGTATGAAAACAAGCCAAAACTTCTCATTCGTCGGTAAACACTTCGCATGCCAATAGGTCTTTCGTGTTCTGCAAACCATTCATTTGCAATGGACCTGGTAGTGGAGAAACGGTCCCTTAAGGTCAATAATCTTAGGCGGCGATCTTCACGGTCTGTTGTTCTACGACGGCGTCAAGTGCCCCTTGCTCTTTGCGTACGGCCTTCTCGAAGCCATGCCTGACAACACCTAACCACAGTGTCTACACTTCTTTGCACTCTAACTAAGTTGACGAAATCGTACAGGTCTCCGTACTCTAGGCATCGTAACCGATCGTAAAGGATGTCAAGAACCAAAATCCGCCAACGTTGATTCTTTACTGCGGCTGAAATATTCATTTTTAGAGCGTTAGTGAATTAAAAAAAAGCAGTATAAAAACCGGAATGTCCAACTGATAAGGCTGAAAATTTTTTCACTTGTTATTTACAGTAAGATAAATACATTCACCAACTTTTATTAAAATAAAACCATTTAAACTGGGTGTTCGGATTTATATGTCACTTAGTATAATTTATGGGCAGAAATAATTGGACAATATTTAATATTACCCGTTGAGTTTCCACCTAAACTAAATGGCCAAAGGTATTTACAATTTCTTGAAGAACAATTACCCACTCTGCTGGAAGATTTTCCATTACAAACACCAATGAATATGTGGTTTATGCACGACGGCGCTCCACCTCATTTTATTATATTAGTTAGACATTACCTAAATAGAGTTTATCCAGACTCACGGATAGTCCGATCAGGACCTGTATCGTGGCCGGCTAGATCACCACATTTAAATCCTATGGATTTCTTCTTCTGGGGTGATTTAAAACGACGCGTTTACAATAAGCCAGTGGAAACTGTAGATGATCTTCGACAAAGAAATGAAAAATAACATTCAAATGCTTTGGAGAGTACAGCAAGGATAATTTCTTCGAGCTCGAGAGTGTGGTAGGCAAGGTGGTAGATACCCATTTTGGACAATTTTTGTAGTTATTATTTCCGTGTATTAGTTTTGTTGCTATCCTCATTTGTTATTGTTAAAAACCATAGCAACGCTATTCAGATATCCAAAGCAACTTGATTATTATGTTATAAAAATGTTTTATCATCATGGTACAAATAATGCATTGGAACCTTTAAAAACAAATATCTCGAAAACTATTAGCTTTAGACACTTCTAACAAGTGAACCTTCTTTGTTGTAGAAATACCTGAAAATAAGATATTTTGGTCAGTTGTTGTATACAGGGTAGCGCAAAAAAGTTATGATAAGTTATTTACCGAAATAGTGCTTTAAGTGACGCCCTCTAGAAGTTTGGCCAGAAAAAATAACGGATTCATGTTTGTCATACTAGAAAACCTTCTTATACCGAGCTTTATTCGAAAATCTGACATAGTTCTCAAGCAATAAGGAAAAATAGAAAATAAAATTATAACTTTGAACCCTGTATCTCGCAAACTATCAAATTTTGGACTAAGATGTGCTTAGGTTAAATCACATATTTTGGTCTGTAGTATCTCTCCAATATCGATATTTCCCAACCTTTCGCAGACACCCTATTATAAGTATAAGACATTTCAATAGAAAGAGAAAAATAAATAAAAGATCACAGGCAAAAAGGCTTATAGATACAAAGTAACTTTAACATACAATGCTAAAGCATGCATAACTTATATATACTAAGTGACATATAAATCCGAACACCCAGTTTAAATGGTTTTATTTTAATAAAATTTTGTATAAGTACTTAATGAAGCATAACAAGTAAATGATAAAAATTTCAAAATGATTGCACTGCTTTAAAGCCCTTTGACCTTTAATAATGTGTGGATGCACCCTGATGAAATTTTGGACTAAGATGTGCTTAGGTTAAATCACATATTTTCGTCTGTAGTATCTCCAATATCGATATTTCCCAACCTTTCGCAGACACCCTATTATAAGTATAAGACATTTCAATAGAAAGAGAAAAATAAATAAAAGATCACAGGCAAAAAGGCTTATAGATACAAAGTAACTTTAACATACAACGCTAAAGCATGCATAACTTATATATACTAAGTGACATATAAATCCGAACACCCAGTTTAAATGGTTTTATTTTAATAAAATTGTGTATAAGTACTTAATGAAGCATAACAAGTAAATGATAAAAATTTCAAAATGATTGCACTGCTTTAAAGCCCTTTGACCTTTAATAATATGTGGATGCACCCTGATGTGCTACGCATTCTCCAACGCGCCTAGGCATGCTTCTGATCAGGTGGTCAATGTCCTCCTGTGGTATCTGATTCCAGGCAACCACCAACTCCTCTCGAAGTGCTTCTAGAGTCTGAGGAGGACGTTGCAAATTGAGCAATCTCCTACCCATCATATCCCACACGTGCTCAATTGGGGATAAGTCGGGAGATCTTGGTGGCCATGGTAACAATGTGACATCATTATGTTGAAAGAAGTCTATTGTGACTCTTGCAACATGTGGTCGGGCATTATCTTGTTGGAAAGTTGGATCTGCCAGGGTGTCAAGATAGGGTAAAAGATGGGGTTCTAGAACTTCGTGGATATAACGCTGCGCGTTCATGTTACCTCTGATGAAGATTAAAGGTGACCTGGAACCATAAGCTATAGCACCCCAAACCATAACTCCAACAGTGTGATGAACATGTCTTTCAACAAAAAACTGTGGATTCCTCCTTTCACCACGTCGCCTTCTAGCCCTGGCACGACCATCGTGCATGCCTAAACAAAATCGAGACTCGTCACTAAAGACAATACTGTTCCATTCCTGATCCCAGAGTGACCGTTGTCTGCACCACTCAAGGCGATTACGTCGGTGTTCTCGAGTTAAAGGGAGGACCCAGTGTGGCCGGTATGAAAACAAGCCAAAACTTCTCATTCGTCGGTAAACACTTCGCATGCCAATAGGTCTTCCGTGTTCTGCAAACCATTCATTTGCAATGGACCTGGTAGTGGAGAAACGGTCCCTTAAGGCCAATAATCTTAGGCGGTGATCTTCACGGTCTGTTGTTCTATGGCGGCGTCCAGTGCCCCTTGCTCTTTGCGTACGGCCTTCTCGAAGCCATGCCTGACAACACCTAACCACAGTGTCTACACTTCTTTGCACTCTAACTGCAATTCCCCGAAAAGAAAGTCCACCTTCCCGAAGTCCCACTATACGGCCCCTATCAAACTCACTAAGTTGACGAAATCGTATAGGTCTCCGTACTCTAGGCATCGTAACCGATCGTAAAGGATGTCAAGAACCAAAATCCGCCAACGTTGATTCTTTACTGCGGCTGAAATATTCATTTTTAGAGCGTTAGTGAATTAAAAAAAAGCAGTATAAAAACCGGAATGTGATAAGGCTGAAAATTTTTTCACTTGTTATTTACAGTAAGATAAATACATTCACCAACTTTTATTAAAATAAAACCATTTAAACTGGGTGTTCGGATTTATATGTCACTTAGTATATTTGTCCTTGTATTCTGAAAAATTAGGATTTTGGTATGTTCTTAATTTTTTTAAATGTTGAGGCAGCTTATTATAAAATATTGTAATGTGGTAAGCGCTTAAAACGACTGAAGTTTGGGGATAGTAGTTGATGCCGCACTGTTTCTGGTATTATATGTGTGGTACTGCTCTACATAGTCTCTTAAATTTCCAAACATATAAAATTTAATACTGAAAACACAAGGTACAGTTACAATTTTCTTAGATTTAAATGTGGTTCTATGTCTATTTTCCAGGCGGAATATTGAAAATTAGTCGTATGAACCTTTTTTGTCCTACAAATACTCTGTGAATACTGGTACCTCATGCCATTACACAGGGAGATTTACAAGTCGTGACCAAAAATGAATGATCATACACAGGGGGGTCTTCTATGTAACATTTTCCCCTCGAGGGCTTCATTAAAAAGATACGTGGTGTTGAAGTTTAAAAATATTTTTTTAATATCTTCAAAACCGTCAACTGGAATGAACTAAAATGTGGTATGTGGTATGTACCTACCTAAGTATTGTCCACGTTCAAAAGTCTTCAATGTCCACCACTGGCGGAGATACAGGGGATTAGTGGTATTATTTTTCCAAATAAAAATAGTACGTCACGGTTTTTTTTTTCGATTCACGCAATTTTTGGAATTTGCTACAAATAATTACTCTTGCGTTTTTTCCTAGAGTGCACTGGTTTCGTAAAAATAAAAATGAAACAAATTACTTAAATCATTCATGAAGAGCCGAAATACAATTAGTTTCAAAATAAAATAGGAGGCTTTATACCAACTTGACGTTTTCTGGGAGATAGTTTGTCAAAGTTATGTGTTATACGATTGTTATCATTTCTACTATCACCATTTTTTTTACGCCTTCATTTTTAAGACTTCGGCAGTATGGGATTGCCAAACTTCCTGGAGTTAGAGGCCATGGTGTCCGGCAAACTGTTCAAGAGAAACTGAAAGTGATTAATTTGGCGTTGGATGATCCTAGTTCAAGTACAAGGCGTATTGCGGCCCAGTTACCATGTTCCCAGTCTTGCGTGGATAATTTAAAATTGGGAAGTTTTACATCCTTACCATCGGCAAAATGTGCAATGTTTGCTACCCGGCGACGAAGTGCAGCGGCGAAATTTTTGAGTTGTTACTCCAAATGCATAATCAAAATGCAGATTTTATTGATTTGGTTTTGTGGTAAGATGAATTGCTATTTACGACGAGTGCATCCTTTAATTCTCATAATGAACATATTTGGTCGTTAGAAAATACTCGTTTCAACACAGATTTTCAGAAATATCTGCTGCGGAATTTTTAATGGCCAACTGTTCATGCACGTATTGACACAACGTTTAAATGCAAACTTATACTTGTCTTTTCTATAGAATTTACATAGAAAATGTGTTAGATGATGTTAGCAACGAGAGTACGAATGTGGTATCAGCGCGACGGTGCCCCACCGCATGTTCGTCGTGACATAACCGCATAGTTGAATAGATAATCATTTTAGACAACGATGGATTGGCAGAAACCGATCCGTACATTGGCCTGCGAGGTCTCATGATTTGAACACAACAATTAGTGTATGCTGAACAAATCAATACTGTTGATCAGTTACAAGAAATTATAGATAATGCGTTTCATCAAATTCAAGCCACAACAAATTTTGCGGAAATACGTTTTTCTTTATTAAAAAGATGCCGCACTTGTTTCCGTCAGAATGGTGGTCTTTTTGAACATTTACCCGAATAAAGATTATCTGATTTGTTTTTTCTTCTATTTTTACGGAAACAATGCACTCTAGGGAAAAAGCAGAAGAGTAATTATTTCTATCAAATTAATATTCGAAAAATTGCGCGTTTCCAAAAATAATGCCACTAATCCCCTGTATCTCCGCCACTGGTGCACGTTAATTTTAAGTAGACTTTTGAATGTGGACAATTCTTGGGCAAATCCACATACCAAATTTAAGTTCATTCCAGTTGATGGTTCTAAAGATATCAAGAAAAGATTGTTTTTTATTTTTAAACTTCAATATTTTCAATGAAGCCCTCGAGCAAAAAATGTTACTCAGAAGACCCCCCTTAAAACTCGGTCCTATGTATGATGTTTCATTTTTGGTCACGACTTTGAGAGACAGTGTCACATAAGTATTGTGAGCTGGGTGTTCAAAAAATAGAAGAGTTACAAAAAATGCACGTATTGACCTTGACCCTTAAAGTAATCACAACACAAGCCCCTTCATATCTATCAACCAAAATTAACAGATACTCAGATGTTAATCAACTGAAAACAAAGAATAAGCATATTTTGGTTATCCCGAGACATTCAATATCCCTATTTAAAAGGTCGTAACATACATATATGCTGCTATCAAGCTATACAACGCGTTGCCTACCGAGATCACTCACTACTCTGTAAAGAATTTCAAAAAAAGATTGAAGTATTTTATCTCAGATTTCATTGCCCAGTAAGTAGACCATGGTCTAGGGACTCGTTGCATTTTTTTTAACTTGTTTGGTTTCATTGGGATTAGAAAATTCACACAAATATTTGTTGGGTTAAGTTGAAAAACTACTTTGTATAAATAAAGCCGGATTATTGTTATTATTATTATTATTACTTGTGAATCACCCTGCATAATAGGTTATGTGTGAGTATGCTAACGCATAATACACCGTCATTAGTCCTTTCTCGTTTAGGGTGTCTTTTAGTTGCAATAAGGCATAGGCATTATTAGGTTTTTGGCAGACAGTTTCAATATCGCCAGAAAATGTTAGTTTTAGGTCAAAGTAAGTACTCAAGAGGTTTTTGCGGTTCGAAACGTTAGTACCAGGAAGTACACCAAAGTCATTGGGTAGTTTTTTGGAATTATGTGACTTCATTCAGTATTAGCCTGTTTGTTAGAGCTCTTGAGGATTTAGTCCGAGAACTGTTCGTCTTAGCCTCAGCAAACATAGTCATCCGCCTGCGTTAAATGTAAAGCGGCAGATCAATGACATATCATAGAAATATCCTAGGATAGGACCCTGTGGTTCCCCTGAACCAAGATGCGTGGAATTTGATCTAACTGTTCCAATTTGAACTTGAAGTTTACCTGCACCCACCCACGTGAAATGGAATCTCATGGTTAGAACGTGGCTAGAACCGATTTGTACACTAAATTATATTATTTTGGAAAGTATGCTGTCCAGCAAGTTACTGTTAAGACACCTTCTCCTTAACAACGATTATACAATGCTTGTTCATTTTAGTCTAGGCCATAAATCATTGAACGTAAGGACGCCGCTATCGATGCATATAGACACTACCATAGGGCACTAAAGTGCTGTCGGTATCTAAAATGTGCCCAATATTTGACAAAGCAAAGCTTTTCCTATTTCCCTCAAAATTAGAAAAATGACGTTATTGCGAATATAACATCAAGCATATAGCACATTTTAAAAGTTGTGTGATTTCTACCTCAGTAAAACTAAACTTTACTATGAAAAATATTGGATTATAAAATGTGTAAGGTTGCGGGTGCAAAAATATGGGAAACAGACAAAGGTGGTACTGGCTTGTATCTTCTAGGTCGTGGAAGTGAATCTCTTGGCACAAACGACCGCTGGTTGCGCAGAAAGATCCAGACTGGACAAAGTGGTACGTATTTTAAACTAAAGTCTATGTAGCATATCAGTGCAGTTGATAAAATAAAATTTTCCTATTTTACTACAGAAAAAATTTACGATCACAAACAAAAAATATGTTGGTGTATATTAGCTATCAAAATAACTATTAAAGTTTTTCTCAAAATTGTCTAACAGCATATATATCAAATTTGCACAGTCTGGATGCAAAATTTATTATTATTATTAAACTCTAATTTATACTTCATTTGTAGTTTAAAACATGCGATTTTTTATTAAAAAATGACTAAATGACAGTTCTGTGGGTACCATCTTTGTAATGACAATGGTATTTTTTGCAGGGAATGACAGCTTACATGATGCACTATCACCGATAATAAATTTTAATGGACGTCAACAAGCCACAATGTCTACATCCCAGAGAAATAGCAAAAACTATATTAACATAGATGAAACTGATAGAAACAGAGCCTCACAAAAAGAAAATAATATGGACAGTTTGTCACTATCCTCTTATGACTTAACCCTGGATAATAATATGGTGGTGTTCGATCAACCTAATTCAGAATTAGGAACGAACAGATTCGAAACGTCTCAAAAACGTAGAGAGGTAGAAATCATAACAGAATCAATCAACACTCAGTCAAAAAAGTCAGTTTTAACTGAAAAAACCTTAGAAAGTAGTCAAGATGCCTTATACGATGCTAGAAATACAACAATTTGGCCATTATACTTATCTTCCTCACATAAAGTGTCTCTTTCTGCGCGACCATCTGCAACTCAAATCCCTTCATTATTATACAATACAAAATTACCCCCGCTAAAAAAAGGAGCTTCACAAATAGAATCTCCAATGGAACATACAACACAATTTGAGAATATAGTGGATGTAGAGTCAAAAGCATTGTCTGAAGCAACAAAAAGTAGTAATCTGGATGCTTCGACTATGATACAATTGGAGTTATTTTCCAAAGAACTATCAGAAGAGATACACCCAAGCTCTGTAGTGAGAAATGTGGAGTGCCACTTAAAAGAATTACATAAGGAGATAAGTGACAAAAAATTGATATCTCCCACTCCAACCCCAGCATTAGATGTCACAGATAAAGTTAAAAAAGAAGGTGCAGAACATGAGTATAGGTTAGAAGTAGAGGATATTTCAAGTGGCACCTCGCTATCCTCACAGGTACCTTCCGCAGATAATCAAACCTCCATCGATATCATAATCAATTGCATTCTTACATCTTTTACTGAAAACCCAAACAGTGGGAATCATAAAAAGAGAAAAGGATATGAAGGTTTAATATCATGCAGTAATCAAAGTATCGGTACAAAATGTAGACAAACAAATGCTGTTAAGTCTGAAGTACTAAATAGAAATTCTGATGCACGCAACGAGACAGAAGAAGCCAACTTTGCCGAAGTGGAAAATATAGCTAAACCAAGTAAAGCAAGGCTTACAGATACAGAAAACATGTCACTCAGGCCTCTGGATACATTAACAGCTGGGTTAATAGAGACTGCTGCGACAGGTGACGAGACATTCCCATCTGAAAGTCAAATTACGCCATTAATTGATCTGTTTCCTTTGCCACTAAATCGGACCGGAGAAAGTGTAACGACAGCTCAATTAGCAAAATCAGTCGAAAAACAGGGTGGAACAGCATCAACTGAAGATACAACCACACCACCAACTGAAATATCACTGACAGTCGGGATGTCATTACATTCACTCGAAACTGAGTCGACAGAGACTCCTAATCTAAGTGCCAAAAAACTGTTACTAAAAGTTCCAATCTCACCACCAAATAAATTGTCTAAAACACCTAATCGTCTGGAAGCAGATACCGAAATCGATGAGTCAACAAGAACTATCGAAATAAACTTTGAAGCAATTTCACCTGAACACAACGAACCAATTTCAACAACGAATGGAATATCATCAACACTGGAGACGCCGTATGTGCCACAAGATCCACACGAAGAAAATGCAGCCACAACTGAATTACCAGAAACATTTAAAGAAAGTGCTGAAGCATTACCAGCTGAAGAACAAGTTCTAATTGTAGCACGTACAGAAATATTATCAACAACATCTGAAACTCCAGCTTCGTATTCTCCTGCACTTTTCTCCTTGCCTACTAGTCCACCAGAAGCTATCTGGAGAGCATCCAAAGCTACTTATGCAGATGCCAAAGCTGCTTCTTCAGCGTCTTCATCAAAGGTCAACGTAGCTGAAAGAATCTCAAGAGAAGACGTAGTTGATCTATTAATCACTGCACCAAACCAATTACAAAAACTTGATGGAACATCATCCAACGAAGAGAGGTCCCAAACAGTACCCTCAAATATTCTAGATGGCAGTATGAAAAAATCAGAGCTAAATACACACATAAGAACTGAAGATTCTTCATCACCAGTAATTTTATCATCATTCACCTCATATGGATCGACATCAATTTTATCAGACTTAACAGTGACAGTCTCAAATGATACAACTTTCACAACTTTTGATGCAGGAGTATCATCAAAATTTCCATTAATACCATTTCCAACGCCTTCTACAGCTTTTTCAGTATTTCCAAGTACCTGGGGATCAGTAATTACGTCAGAAGTAACGACACCAACACCACCAGAAGCCTTTTCGTCACCAGTCACAATCCAACAGGATGATGCAGATTTGGAGATATCTAAAAGATCAGAGATAGGAGAATATGAGCCAAAGCTGATTCGCTCAACATTTTATGATGATCCAGTAATATCAGAAGAGCAACCAAGTGAAGAGGTTAGGTCAATGGAGGGTTCCGACTTAGCATCAGACTGGAACAGGGATATGCTTGGAAAATCTTCTATTGCATCTCTTATCTCATCAATCACCCAGGGATTTAGAAGAAAGGCGTAAAGTCGATAAATAAATTCTTAATTTCGTCTGGTGTGTAAAAAATATCACTCTCTAGAGTTAAGAGTGCAGTATTTTGCATAAAAAACAAATAGAAATGGTGTGTTAACATTGACAAATACTAATGTATGTTTTATTAGAAATGCTTTGTCAAGTTGAGGTCCATACAAACAAAGAATTTTGTTTATGATTTGTCTTCTCCAAATATAATAATAATAATAATATTTATTTGCTTTCAATTCAATTACAAATGTTACAGGTGGAATAAAAAACATGCAAATAAATATGAACTACCCACAGAAGGGAAAGCCTGTGCGTGGTGAGATGTCTATCCAATATTCAGTCTATATCAGTATAATTGTCATTATAGGTACAATCGTCATAATAGGGTGTGCGACGAATCAGAGAATGTCATATTAGGAAGTACATTTGCTTTAGCTGCTGCATGCTTGGATATGCTTAACCTTGTGTATATATTAAGAAGTTTTAAAAAAAAATTCCTTGACAGTGGAGGCGAGGTATTTCATTAATCCACTTTTTTTGTTCTTTTTTAAACTGCATAGAATTATACTGTTTTAAGATAATAGGCAAACTATTGTATGAGGCTTTGGTAAACATACTCTCACTTTATGGCGGGTATCATAGCCATGCTCAGTTTGGCGTAACTTGTGTTTTAGTTGGTGCTGCTTCATGATGGTCTGGATGAAGTAGAGTTGTCGAATATCGTGCACTCCAATTTCGGTATATAATTGTTCTGTTGGGTATATTCTTGGCTTATTATATATTACCTTTATAGTGTACTTTTGTATTGTCTCAAGATTTTTCATGTGTGTCTTACACGCTGCTCGCCACGCGATCACACCATACCTCAAATGGCTCTTAACTAGTGAATAATAAAATACTTTCATTTGATAGAAGTCATAGTATTTCATAAGATATTTAAATTTGTAAAGTATTGTACGCAATTTTTTAATTACGAAATGTATGTGCGTGTCCCATTTAAGGGTAGAATCTAGGTATGTACACTCCCAGATATCTAACACTGCGCGAAGAAGTTAGTTGTAATTGTTCATTATATGAAGGCCTCGTCTCATAAATAAAGATGTGTAGTATCCTTGATTTCGCCCCGAACGACCACATTATTTAAAGTAAACAAAGCCCCTCCCTGGGCTCCTCGCATCTCCGTCGCTGGTACTCATCGCCGGAATTCTCAGTCTACTATTTTGTGCCGTGCGATCACATCGTTCCGCGCGTTTTTTCTCGGAAATATTTTGTTTATGTGCAAAAATGCCAAAGAGGCATAGAAGCCGTAGCCACTCACGCGATCGTGTTGGTTTGAGCTCCGTTTTGAAGAAGATTGAACGTCGCTTGAGTAAACTGGAAAACCTTCGGAAACGACGCCGTACCGGATCACCCTCTTAGGCTGAACACATAGTGGAGCGGTGAGAAGAGCGACGAGCAGAGCAGAGAGGAGAGCGGCGAAAACAAAAGCAATAGTTCCAATCGAGTATAACATAGTGAGGCGAGCTCAAGCGAGGTACTGTTGGACCAGCGAAAGATTGCAAGCCGAAAGAATGCGGACAAAAAATTGCGAAGTTGTCAGATGTTCTACATAAAATGCGGTCCATACATATTAACATATTTAAGATATAGAATTGTTCCGCTGAATTTGGCAATGTAGCTGGAAAACCCAGGCCGCAGGTAAACATCCGGTCGCTGATTGGTCCAAAACTCTTATCTTATCTGAAACTAGAATAACGTGCCGATGGCACGGTCATTTATAAACCTACTCCCATAGGCGTAGGCAGTTGGCAAATACTTTGAAAATATAATTTACTGTTTAGTGGTGATAATGGAATTCAAGCATGGGAAAGTTATTCACAGCCAGGCAAGGGAAATAATAGCAAACGTGATACGTGCTTGCGATGCAGAAGCGGCTAACAATACTTTCGTTTATCCACTGGTAGCTAGAAATGCAAGGGCGGCATATTATACGGGTGTTAGTGAACGAACTATAAGTAAAATTAGAAAAGAAGATAAAGACAGGCAAAATGCAACCTCCACACAGCCTTTAGCTTCTCCCGGAAAAAAGAGATCACGCCCTTCTGTGATCCAAAAAATTGATGGAGTCGATTTTTCCATTATTCGGAGAATGATAGAAAAATTTTACTGTGATTTTAAAGTGGTACCTACTTGTAGTAAACTTCTAATCAAACTGAAGGAAGAAATGGAATTTCCATTTGGTAAAGAATCGTTGAGGCTGCTTTTAAAAGCAAAAGGATTTTACTGGCGTAAATGCCACAACAAAAGGAAATTACTAATGGAAAGACCCAGTATTTTACATTGGCGATACAAGTATCTTAGGTCTATTAAAAAGTTCCGGGAAGAAGGAAGGCATATTATTTATTTGGACGAAACTTGGGTTGATAATGACCTCACTTTCAAGAAATGCTGGCAAAGCGAAGAAATTATGGGTGTCCTGAGCAATATAAGTTCTACAGGTAATAAAGTTTCTTTCACCTCGATTTTGCTTATTATACATTTTTCTCAATTTTGGAATATTCTTAATAAGTGCTCATTTAATTTGTCTAATTGAATACATAATCCCTTGCAAGTATTTTTTTCTCAAAAATATGTTTTTTATACATAGTGATTCAAAAAGGTGTTGGCAAACTTAAAATAACACTAAAATGAGGCTATTTATTCATTTCCAGGACGACTTATAATTGTTCATGCGGGTTCGCAAGATGGTTTTGTTCCTGGAGCCTGTCTCATTTTCAAGGCTGGCTGTGCCACTGGTGATTATCACGGTCAAATGAACCAAGAAAATTTCACGAAGTGGCTTACTGAAAAACTATTTCCTAACATTCCTCCTAATAGTATTATAATAATGGATAATGCACCTTACCATTCAGCTTTGGAAGACAAGCCTCCAACTAGATCTTCTCTAAAAAGAGACATCATCACGTGGTTGAGCAAAAAAGGTATAGAGCATGATCCTAATGCTAAAAAAATGGAGCTTTATGAAATAGCTTGTCTACATAGGCCACCATCTGATGAGAAAAATTATAAGATAGATAATTTAATAAGAAGTTTCGGACACACCCCACTTCGAACGCCACCCTATATGTGTCAGTTTAATCCCATAGAGATGATTTGGGCACAAGTAAAATTTTTCATTAGAAGCCATAATACAAGCGGCGAATTTACTATAAAAAAACTAGATGAAATTTCTAATAAGGCCATCGCTTCAGTAAGTGCCAGTGACTGGCAAAAGGTTATTGGACATGTTATAAAAATTGAAGATGAATATTGGGAAAAAGACAGTCTCATTCAAGAAATACAGGAAGAAATAATAATCAACATAGGAGGTGAAAGTGATAGCAATGACAGTTCCTCAGACAGTGATCATGACTCTAATCAGGATTGAAACTATACTAGATTGGCTACCTTTTAGAATTTTTAGATATTCATTTATTATACTATTGGTTTGTGGCTTTTAGTATCTCAGTAGAAAGTCTAATTCTATGTGTTGTTTATGGGTTATTTCATCAAGAAATTACTTTTTGTTTTCCTATATTTTTCTATTCAGTCAGATATTTTTGACTTGTTGTATTCTATTTTAGAAGAATGCATAATTTGTTTTGCTGTTCAATCATAATGCGTACATAGGAATATTACTTGTTGCCTAAAAAATATATTTATTTTGTTCTCAATATTCAGTGTTTGTGTATATTTATTTCTTATAATGTATGTTTGGTATCACGTCATTATGAATCGCAAAAAAATATTAATACTACCAGTTGTAATAAAATATAAATTCAATTAATAATTCAAGTCTCTCCGATCTCCGCCTATGACTCCATATAAAATCGTCTAATGGTAAGGTTTTTTCATCGCATTTCCCCCTTTCGTCCCTAGCAATCTTTGGCTGGTCGATCAATAACTGCGTTGCTATAAGAGAGGATAGCGGCGAGACCAAGCAGATTTGTTTTCTCTGCTCTCCTCGCTGCGGAAATACTGTGTATTAAAAATGGATGTTGATGCATTTATTACTAGTGTTTTTGTTAAAAATCCCCTATGGGATCAGAAAGACTCTCAGCACCATAACCGCTTTGTTTTGGATAAACTGTGGGATGCTGTGGCCGAAGAAATGAAAACAACAAGTGAGTATATATTTTTAAATTTTATTTCTACATACGTAATTTTTATACGTCTCTCTAATAAAAGTGGCAGATGCTGTTGGCCTATTATTTGCTCGCACAACGTCCGAGTTATTACATTGAGACTCGGATTGGGACAAAAATTGTTCATCTTGAATTGGAATGCCCTCTATATCAATTATTGTATTGTGTAGAATACAGATACACTTAATAATATCATCTGCTAAGTCTGGAGAGGCTTCTATGGGCTTGAAAAGAATACGAAACTTGGCACTGATGATTCCAAAAGCACACTCTACTACACGTCTTGCACGTGAAAGGCGCATATTGTAATATTCTTTTTCTGCATCTAAATTTCTTCTATTAAAAGGTTTCATTAGATTATTTAATAAAGGATAGGCTTCATCTCCGATAAAAACATAGGGTACAGTGATCATAGTGAGCGGTAATGTACCATCTTCAGGAATATTTAGACGTTTACTCTCAATCAGATGAAATAGAGATGAGGATCGGAATGTACCCCCGTCACTCTGCTTGCCATACCCTCCAACATCAATCGTTATAAATCTATAATTTGCATCAGTAACAGCTTGGAGAACAATAGAAAAGAAGTTTTTGTAATTATAGTACATAGTTCCAGAGTGAGGAGGACATTTCACACGAATATGTTTTCCGTCAATTGCCCCCAGACAATTGGGAAAATTCCATTTTTCGTAGAATTCTTTTGCAGTGTTCTTGAAGTCATTTTCGGTAGGAAGTTTCATATGCAGAGGTTGTAATATGTCCCACATAGCTTTTACTGTTTCTCGCACAATTGATGACACGGTCGTAGCACCCATTCGAAAAGTAAAACTAAGAGTTTTAAAAGATGATCCCGTTGCCAAAAACCTGAAAAAAAAACTTCTTCAAGCTTAAATTCTGGTAAAAATATTTTCTCATTTCAGGGAGTATCGTGAGGACAAAATGGAAAAACTTGCGAGACACATTTCGCAAAGAACTTAAAAAAAAGCCAGTACAACGATCGGGGGATGAGGCATCCTCTTGGACATCATCTTGGCAATATTTTGATAGTCTTTATTTTTTAAAAGACCAATTTACTGCCCGAGTAAGCACCGGAAATTTGCCCGAAACTGAGCAAAACATCAATATTCTGGATGAAGAAACAAACACCCAGTTATCAGAACACCGATCAGAACCAAATAAGCCAAACTTGGATGATTCTACTTATGCCGATAAATTACCACTGACGAACGATTCGTCTCAAAACAAAAGCAGTTTAACTATCACACCTACTGTTAACAAATTAAAACGAAAGAACCAAAATGACACAGATGTTGGTGCTGCACTTATAAGATTAGAAGAACAAAAACTCAGGATTCTAGAAAAAGAGAAAAAAACCCTTGATGAAGACGATTGCTTTTTTGACAGCCTTCTACCACACATTCGCCCGCTCACCCCACAAAGAAAAATGTTATTAAGAATGAGAATTCAGGAACTTGTTTATAACTTTATTTACAATGATCAGCCGCCTAGTCAAGCTACTCAAAGGCAAAGTAATCATCAAGCTCAAAATATGCATGATGTATATGAAGTAAATTCATCCCAAATAATTGATTTGCAGCCTCTAAGGGTCTCCTCGAATCCTGCATCAGTTGGATCTTATTTGACCAGTTTTTCCGAAGAATCTCTTAATGATTTTTAATATTTTCACATAGGTACAGCTATATGAGTAATGTTTGTGCTTTCATTTTAGTTTGGGTTTTCGTTCTGAATAAAATATAAAATTGAAAGTGTGCACGTTTACTTACCTTAAGGTCAGTGCAACTCGTTCTGTTGGGCTAATAGGGTTACAATTAAAGTTGGTCCAACTTTTTACTAACTTATGCTGAATTTTCTTCACAATATAATCAAAGGTTACAATACTCATTCGGAAATAAGACTTAAACTTCTCGGGATGCTGCCTTAGTTCTTCATACAGGTGATGAAATTCACCATGTACATGCCTACTTTTATTTATTTCATGAACACTACAACTTCTCTTCCTATTTTTCAGAAAATACCAAATTTTCAGAGAAGAATTTTCTGCTAACAACAGATCCATCTCTCTGTTTTGATCGCGCTACTATGTGCAGGCATCTCTTTTATCACCGCGACACTCAATCGCCGCTCTGCTCTCTGCTCTCCTCGTCGCTCATCTCGCCGCTCCACTATGTTTTCAGCCTTACTCATCAGATTCGTCTGACACGCACAGTGACGGTTATACTACGAATTCTTCAAGTTACCACAGTGGTAATTCTGGTCATGATCACATCACTGCATCCGAAGATAAGGACAATAACCACAGTGAGTATTGTAATTTTGATTTTTTGCTGATGATTACATTTTTTACCATAGACGGTACACACACTTGCCTAGAGTGGCAATTCATTAGTGTGAGAGAACATTGTCTAGAGTGACAAGACCGAGTCTGACATACTAGTAACCTACCTAGAGTGGTAGTGGTACATACAATCTAACCATCTGTCTAGAGTGACAGAAGAACCTGTCTTGCTGTTTTTTCTACCTAGTGTTGTAGTCACCTTATCAGTCGTGTGGCTGTATGTATTTTTTGCCTTTTTTTCGGGGCCTGGATTATAACTACTGTCTAGAGTGGCACCTATTCCTCAATCACATGTTATTTATTTTTTCAGCAGCCATACTGCCTGAACAAACTGGAGAGGTTCCAACACACCCGTCAAATACCATTATGTCCATTTTCACCGCTGAGGGAGATTCGGAAAAAATATTTTCTGCTGCAATCCAACCGGAATTGGCTGCTTGCTGGTCAAAGATCCTTACAACTGGATTATCAGCAGAGACGAAAGAGACTCTGATCAAAAAATACCTCCCCCCAGAAAATTGTCAAGAACTTCAACCCCCCTTAATAAATCAGAAGTCAAGAGAGCTTCACCAGTAAATGCTGTCCGTCGGGATGAACGTATAGCACGTCTTCAAAACAAGTTGGAGCAGCCACTTCAGCCATTTCTCTTTTGATCACTGAAATGCTAAAAAAAGAGGGAGAGGCAAATAGGGAATATATAGAGTCTCTCAATGACATAGGGCGGTTATTATGTGATGTTCACCACAATGAAACCGTCTCACGAAGAGAAATAATCTGATTGAATTTGAATAAGGATTTCAAAGAAACATTGAAAGACACACCCATTGGAAAATTGCTTTTTGGAAGCGATTTAGACTCTACATTGAAAACAGCAAAAGAACTTGAAAAGTCTACTGAACAACTGAAGGTTCATAAAAATAATTACCGCCAACCAAATCAGGGAAACTTCAAACGTCCATCTCTGTCAAGGAGGGGAACCCAACAGAGTGGACACAAACTTCATGTTCCTACCAGTCACCAAAGGAGTTACCAGTACAACAAGTCTCGTCGACATCGACCCGGAAGGCAGGACCGACAGAGCGACAAGAGAAGTCGACTTCAATCTTAGAGGTCAGTAAACCTTGTGGAAGGTTGAAGTACTTCGTAAAAAGATGGACATCTTTCCTTTAACCAAAAAATTCTTTCATATATTAAGGGTCTTAGTATACCTTTACATGCCTTACCAAGACAAACAGTTGCACTATCAGATCCAAAGCGTTCTAAAAAAGAATATAAAACTATTAGTAGCTTAATTCTGGAGTTCATCAAAGATGGAACTATTTGTCCTGTAATCCCAAGGGAAAATCAATTTCTCTCTAACATTTTTACCGTCCCTAAGTCAGATGGCTCCTACAGATTAATCATAAATCTAAGAAGATTCAATCACTTTGTACACACATCTCACTTTAAAATTGAAGATTACAGAACCGTTGCTCATTTAATCACACCTAATGCTTTCATGGCTACTATAGATTTAAAAAATGCATACTATCTAGTGCCTATTAAAAAAACTCATAGAAAATACCTAAGATTCAGTTTTAATAATCGCTTATATGAGTACAACTGTTTACCCTTTGGTTTAAGCTGTGCACCTTATGTATTCACAAAAATTATGAAACCTGTAATGTCTTTCCTTAGGAAGAAAGGTTATTTATCTGTAATCTATTTAGACGATATTCTTCTCTTAGGAAGAAACAACGAAGAGTGCGAAAATAATGTGAGAGAAACGATGAGATTTTTAGAGCACTTAGGTTTTTTGATAAATTATGAAAAAGCAACTTGAATCCAAATCAGATATGTCGGTATCTAGGTTTTCTGTATAATTCACAGAATCTGTCAATTTCCTTACCGGAAGATAAATTAGAGTTTTTAAGCTTTTGAATAAGTTTCATTCATTAAAAGAATTTACAATTCGTCAATTTTCGAAGTTCATTGGAACATTAGTGTCAGTGGCACCTGCAATCATTATTTGAACGCCAAAAAGTTTTTGGCTTTGGCAAAGGCTAGAGGAAATTATGAGGCAAAAATGTCTATCCCCAAAAGCCTTTCTTCTGATTTTAGATGGTGGAGTAGTAGTGTAAAGAATTCTGCCAACTCAATTGACTCGAAGCAGTTCCAATTAGAAATATTTACTGATGCTTCGACATCAGGATGGGGCGTCTATTTCAATGATGACACCACCTACGGTTTTTGGTCAGAAGAGGAAAAATACTCTCATATCAATGAACTAGAACTATTAGCCTTATTTTTTGGTCTGAAATGCTATACAAAACATCTTCGAAATTGTAATATTTTATGCAGAATAGATACTACCGCAATATGCACCATCGATCGAATGGGAAGTGTTAAATATAGAAATCTGAATAATTTGGCAAGAAAAATCTGGACGTGCCAGGATAGAAACTTATACATATTTGCCTCTTATATACCCTCAAAAGAAAACGTTCACGCAGACGAGGCATCAAGAGAGATTCATAAGGAAACAGAATGGACTATTTCTAACTATGCATTTGAAAAAATAAAGAAAACATTTGATAACCCCACCATTGATCTCTTTGCTAGTCGCTTGAATAAAAAGTGTCCAACCTTTGTATCCTGGATGAGAGACCCGGAAGCCTTTCAAGTCGATGCCTTCACATTAGACTGGTAAAAGTTCTACTTCTATGCATTCCCACCCTTTTCCTTGGTTTCAAAAGTACTGCAAAAAATTATCAAGGATAGGGCAAAGGGCATTGTGGTTAACCGACGTGGGTATCTCAACCCTGGTACCCCATTTTCCAAAAATTATTAGTTCAAGAACCCTTAATTTTCAAACCTAAAGAAGCCTTCCTTTCTTTCAGCGGGACTCCCCATCCCTTGTCAGACAGCCTTTTCCTGACAGCAGGGAAGTTATCCGGGAAGCGCTACTACAAAGAGCCGTACCTCAAGACTCTTTAGACATTTGCATATCATACATCACCAACTCTACCTTAAAACAATACACCACCGGCTTAAAACTTTGGTGGTCATTCTGCAGTTCGAAACAATTGAATCCATTTAATGTCAATGTTCCAGATGTTATGAAATTTCTAATATATCATTTTAAAAATGGTGCTTCTTATGGAACACTCAACTGTTATCGATCTGCTATATCTCAAATAGCTGGTCCTGAGATAGGCTCTGATATCAGGATAAAAAGATTTTTCAAGGGAATTTTTGGGTTGAGACCTCCTTTACCCAAATACGAACATACTTGGGATCCGGCTATTGTACTCAGTCATGTTAAAGATCTGGATAATGACGATATTCCACTTGAGCTTCTCACACAAAAATTGGCAATTTTATTGGCTCTTGCAACGGGTGAGAGGGTCCAGACCTTGAGTTTAATCAACATTAAAAATATCAATATCCATCCTGAAAAAATCGAAATAAAAGTAACCGAAAGAATAAAGACATCCGCGACGAACAAATTACAACCCTTACTTGTTCTTCCCTTCTTTCATGACGCAAAAATTTGCGTAGCGGAAACTCTCATAAAATACTTAGAAAAAATTAAAGAATTAAGAAATACGTGCGACTTTCTTTTTATTACATACAAAAAACCTCATCACCAGGCATCATCTCAACCGATTAGCAGATGGACAAAAAATATTCTAAAAGCAAGTGGTCTTGATACCAACCAATTTAAATCTCATAGCACTCGACACGCTTCAACATCAGCAGCTACTCGAGCAGGAGTCAGTTTTGACGCTATCCGATTAACAGCAGCATGGTCTCAGACATCTCAAACATTTGCTCGTTTCTATAACAGACCTATCTTAGATAACCAAGAATTTGCTAATGTTATATTAGGTTTAGGCAACAAACGATTAGTATAGCTAGTATACATAAATCAGTTCATTTATCCACTTAGGGTTATGTTAGTTTGTTACTGGGGTTCATGTTTCGTTTTTTGTTCTTTTTTTGTTTTCAAAATTAAATAAAAAGGACTAAAAGAGAGCTGTTGCAACTTTCTTTAAACATCTACACATCTTTATTTACGAGACGAGGCCTTCATATAATAATCAGATCAAACGAACTTACCTAACTGATGTTCGATCTTGATTATATGAAGGCCTCGTCGAAGTAAATAAAGTCCCAATACCCACCCTAATTATCTACGATAGTTCCCCTAATGAGCTAGAGTTGCAACATTACCTTTAAAAAAGACTGAGAATTCCTGCGATGAGTACCAGCGACGGAGATGCGAGGAGCCCAGGGAGGGGGTTTGTTTACTTTAAATAATGTGGTCGTTCGGGGCGAAATCAAGGATCACATTTTTATTTACTTCGACGAGGCCTTCATATAATCAAGATCGAACATCACTTAGGTAAGTTCGTTTGATCTGATTATTTTGGTTGTTCTTCAGTTTTATGTTTAATTTTGAATATTTGGGCATATATCGTTCACATGATGGAAATGGGATGTAACAAGTTTTGTTGTAATTTACGGTTAAAAGTCTAGAGTTTAACCATTTGATAATCTTGCAAAATTCTGTTTCTGTTAGAGTTTTTAGGTTTTCCAGATTTGAGAACTGAATATGATGGCTGTATCTTAGGCAAAACTTATGATTTTTCCTCGATGTTCTAGTAAATATAGTTCGTTAAAGTAAATATTAAATAATATCGGTGCCAATACAGTCCCTTGTGGTATTCCAAACTTCGCTGTTCTACCATCACTCAAAGTATCACTAATCTTCACATAATGTGTCCTATTTGATAGGTAGAATTTCATTAATGAGTATGCAGTGCCACGAAAGCCTACTCTTTCTAAAGCCCCGAGGAGTTGGTTGTGGTTAACTGTGTCGAATGCCTTCTTTAGGTCGACAAAAACACATAGAGTTGGGTCCTTGGAATTTATATTACTGGAAACCTTAGTCATAAGATCAAGTATTGCATCATCCGTTGACTTCCCTTGTCTAAATCCAAATTGTTTATCAGATATTATTTTGTATTTATCTAAGAAAGCTGTCATGCGTTTTTTCAGAATCTTTTCAAAAATTTTGACTAACGAAGATATTAACGATATAGGTCGGTAGTTAGTTACTTCCGACCTTTCCCCAGTTTTGTATATGGGTGTTATTATTGCAGTTTTGAATATAGCTGGGAAATACCCACTCTGGAATATTTTATTAAAAATATATTTTAAACGTGCGGCTATTTCAGATGATATGATTTTGAGGTGCTCAGGTCGGATTGTGTCCAAGCCCAGGGACTTTTTGTTTTTTAACGAATTTATTGTTTCAATTATTTCTTCATCATCTGTATCATAAAGAAAGAGTCAGTTTTATTGAGAGTGCTGTGGAAAATTTGTATTAGTGTCTATATCTTCAATTAGCTTATCTGCAAGAGTCTCACCTACATGTGCATAATAATCGGCAAACCTATTTGCTACCATTTTTCTGTCCGAGCTTTTATTGTCGTCATCTAGTTTTATTTCATGTATTCCGGTTTGATTGTTGCCTTCTGTCAATTTGTTCAGGGACCTCCACAACTTAGTTGGATTAGATCTGTTATTTTCCAGCTCTTTTTGGTAGTAGCTTCTCTTCGCCACGTCTATTAACATAGAACTCCAAGTTTGTTTCTGTAGTTATTGCAGTTGGTTTTTTTCTCTCCGGTTAGGCTATTTTTGAGCTCTGTGTATAATTTGTATCTTTCCTTAATCCGCCTGTGATCCATGGCGTTCTTTTTTTGATCTTGCTTTTAATTCTGACCTTTTTTGTACTTCTGTCTACAATATTTTTAATAGTTTCCACTAATCTTTCGGTCGCTGCATCTATCGTGTCTGCAACATAAACACTAAGCCAATTTTCGGCTCTGGCATTGTTGAATAATTTATTTGTATCAGTATATACTTTATATAGCATGTTATGGCCGTCATGTTGCATATTTTGAGTGCGCAATTCACTGGGAAATGATCGGTTATATCAGAGTGGATGACAGCAGGAATATAGTTGTAAGTAGGCAATGAATCTCGAATAAAGATGGAATTAGCTTGTCGCTGTACTCTAGTGAAATCATTTATATAAGATAGAAATCCATGACTACTCAGCATACTAACATGCTTGATAAGTTACTATTACTTTTGATATCTATATTTATATCGCCAACCAGCACATGCACACGCGTGTTACCAATTCTGGAGAGGTAATTGTCGAGACATTCTATGAACTCGTGTGGACATGCACTGGGAGGTCTATAAATCGAAGTTATTTTCAGTTTTTTCTTATCAAATTTGAGATGTATCTCTAAAAGTTTAAGATTTTTATCAAGTGATACAATGTGATCGCGACAATGTAGTTCTCTTTTGACAAAGACAAATAAGCCATCATTCTTGTTGATATTACCTTCATTATAAAACAGAGATGCATAGGACAACAATGATAACTGTTCAACTTTATTTAGTACTCCGAGTACCAAAAGTGACTTAAAAGACACAAGTTTATGTACAATTGAATACGAAGCGACAACTATACAAATTTCTATTCAAATAACTCCATCTTTGGCAGAATTGCATAATTTTACTAAAATATAAAACACGATTATATTGCGCTTTCTGAAACACCCCGAGTATGTTTTCAAATATTATAGTTCTGTTTTCATAGAAGCAAAATTACTTTTTAACGACAACTAGAATGTCATCTAAAAGGAAGAGAGCGTAATTGTGATATCATATCAGTAGTCTTACAAAATGTAATGAAATTGATAAATCTAAAGCCGTCAACATTATGTTTCTTTGTTATGATAAATCGGTGAAAAAGAAATTTTCCTTTCCAAGTTTTCTTATTTGCGAGACGATAAATTAGGTTAATCATATGATTTTGAAAATTATTTGGCCGCTCGGTTGTAACACATAATTTTATCGCATAGTATAATATATTCTTACATTTTTTCATGCCTTCTAATTAATTTCTAGGTAGCGAAGGAGGAAAAGAAACTCCAAGGAAAGAATTACAAATGGAAAAAAAATATTGCAAGTGTGAACGCCAACTAGTGGATGACAAACCAAGCAGCAACTGTCTTACAACAAGAGAAGGTATATTGAATGGCAACACCAATCGCAAAGCAAAGTTCAAGATCCAAAATATTCAACTGAAGCTAGAGGTAGCAGTTACGATACAAAAACCAGTTGCACACAAAGTTTCGAAGATCCGTCATACTAACCCTACGTCTATTAAAGTGTCTATTGAAATCAAAGGAAGTAACCCACTGCTGTCTTCTAAAATTGGATCAAATGAAAAAGAACATATCGATTATAGTCGCGCTTTCAGCAACGCAGCATCTGCAAATCACGTAAAAAATCCAGAGAGACACATATTTACTGACAGTCGACCCTCAATTGCTGAATATGATCACACTTCTAAAAAGAAACCACTCAAGTTCAGTCATCCTTCAGAAAACTTCCAGGAAACATATTTGTCGGGTGGAAAAACACTAGAAGATACAGTTTGCAGTCCTTTAGAACAGGCAGCATCCACAAGCAATGACGTTGTAGGAAACCGCGAGGACGAAGAAGAAGGGAGAAAAGAAACAACTTGGCCAAACGAAAACACACCAGGAGATGAAACTGAAAATGACAGTTACTCGAATGATACAGTATCTATAGTAATTCTTTCTCCTATAAAAAATCCAAATGAAGTCAATCATTCACCAGAGGAAAAAAACTATTTGTCAGACACGACTCCCGAAAGCCTACTGCTACAGGTCCCTGAAAGCATAGATCAGTCAGATACAACATCTTTTGACGATTACAGTGATCATCCTCACAGGGGTGAAGGTACTCAAGAAAATGGAATCATAGAAAATCCTGTGACTAAATCTGAGTGCCAAACATCGAACCCAGAACTGATTATGGGTACTGACTCTCAAGACTCAAGCACATATCTAGGCTGTAATAACTATCCAGGCTCGAGCTCTAGTCTAAACCCGAGCACATATCCAGATTTCATCAACTATCCAGACTCTATCGCTTCTCCCTATTCTATCAGCTATCCAGATTCAAGCGTTCTTCCAGACTTGAGCGTATATCCAGAGTTGAGCACATATTCGGATTCGAGCGTCATAGTTACCACTGGAAGTGAAAATATAGGACCTTTAGAGAAGTATGATGAGGACAGATCATCTAAGGCAACGGAACCAACGTCAAGCACTGGAAGTAATTTGGATACACGTAACTCCAAAAAAACAGACTCACAAAATCAGAAAGAATCTGAGGGGCTGCTAGCAGCGGATATCGAAACGCCAGATGATCGTCATGCAAATGTTGTTCTGAATATGCCTTATCACTTTGTAAGCCTTACACAGCATGGAACTAGTAGCCAACCTGAAAATATAGGAGACGTCCACTCCTTGGCGCATCTAGAACATGGTAATAACAAAGAAGAAGGAACTCAAATTGCTGTCACTTTTGAGCCCGAACAGACAACTGAAAATGTTGCTTCAATCGAGGTAATATCAGAAAAAAGCACTCGTCCACAATTTGGAAATAAGGAAAACGAAGAGAACAATTCCAAAACAACTGAACTCAATGAACCAGCTTTAGAGGAAAGTGCCGTTCCTAGCACTAGTAACGAAGGTTATATTAAAGATATCCTATCAAAGACAGCCGCACCAGACCAGCAGGCATTGGGATATGATAATACTGACCAAATTAGTAATAACAATGAGCAAGTCAATGATGTTATTGAAAGCCAAATTCCTATTGCCGGCACTCATGATCCTGAATGGTCAGTTGAAAATGTACCGACCTTGGTCACAGTATTAGATAAATCAGTGTCACTACAGCCGGATGAATTAAGATATAATAGTGATGAAGAAATTAATATTAACAAAGAACATGACATTGATGCTACTGGAATTCAAACTTCCAACAGCTTTATTCCTAAGGCTGAACAGTCAGGTGAAATAGTACCAGATAAGAGTACCACTCCAGCATCTGAGCATCGAAGTGAAAGTATAGAAAACAAAAGCAGCAGTATCCAAACAACCAAACTCAGTACACCAACAACAGAAGAAAATACTGCCCCAAGTCTCGTAAACCTTACTACAGATAATCTAATAACAGTATCACCACACCAGAATTATACAAACGAAGAAAGTGATGCTACCACAAAACAAGGCATCGATGGTGCTACTACTTTTGAACTTGAGTCAATTGAAAGTACCTTCACACCATCACCAGTAAAAGAAACAAACACCTCTCCTGAAACTACTTTCCTAAGTACAAGTCCAGAGAACCAAGACAGCAGTGTCACCGGGATACGAGATACTTCTGTGGGATACACTTCTAGTGCTCCAACGTCTGAACCTAATCCTGTAACGTATCAAACTGATAAAAGTACTGTACCTACTTTAGGAAAACCTTCCAACGGTGAAGAAATCACTACAACTCGTGTAGGTAAATACCATACTAGTACTGTAGCAGGTGAAGATGTATTAGATCAGGATGAAAATGTATCCACAATAAAGCCTCTGGTAACTGTGACATCAAGATATCCTAAGAGTCCAAACTCAAACATTTCCGATTCTGATAGTGATATGTATGCTATAGCCGAATCAACAGAGGTTAGTGAACCTGCTATAGGTAAGACCACTATTCCAAAAACTACCCAAGAAAGTTTCAATCAAGATCAGACAGACTATCCAGATCATAAAGAATTGGGTTTTGGCAGTGCTGAAACTGTTGGTATTACAATACCTGCGCATCAAATATTATCATCTGCAATAAGCTCAGAATACGATACAATGTCTACAGGAGTTGTAAATCAGACAAATGACACTGCGCAACTTGGTGTAAACGAAAAACTGGAGTCACCTCATGCAGATACACATCTTCCCCTATCTTCTTTGAACCACAAGTTTGGGGCTATTGCTACTAATATACCAACTGCGGAACAAGTATCAGGCATGAACGGTAACGTACCAGTTTCACCTGGTTTGAGTGAGGAAACGACGGTTGCGGAAGACATCCATGTCTTAAACCAATACGAAACTACTGAACTGAAAGAACGAGAGGGCAATGTTGCTGAAAGTCAGACTACTAGCAAAGAAAGTGAGGTTTCCAAAGAACAAGACATTGGTGGTACTATTACTCGTGAACCTGACTCATTTGAAAACTCCTTCACACTTTCACCAGTAACAGAAAAGAGCACATTTGAAACTACTCACCACATTTCAAGTCCCCTGCACGAAGACAGCAGTATCACCGGGATACCTGATACTTCTAAGGGATACACGTCAAGTGCTCCAACATTTGAACCTAATCATGTAACCTATCAAACTGATAAAAGTGCTGTACCTACTGCAGGAAAACCTTCCGACGGTAAAGAAAGCACTACAACTCGGGTAGGTGCATATCATACTAGTACCGTAGCAGGTGAAGATTTGTTAGATCAGGATGAAAATGTATCCACAAAGAAGCCTCTGGTAGCTGAGAGTTCAGGAAATGATGAGATCCCAAACTCAAACGCTGAAACCAAATCAACAGATGTTAGTGAATCAGTTGTAGAAAAGACCACCCAAGAAAGTCTTAATCAAGATCATCTTAAAAAGACGGACTATCCAGATCATAAAGAATTTGGTTCTGGCAGTAATGACATGGTTGGTATTACAATACCTATGCATCAAATAGTTCTTCCAGCACAAGAAGTTCAGAGCAACTATCCTTCAAGTGACACAGCTCCGACAAAAAATGACAATATAGAAGACTCAAACAAGATTGTTGATCACGTTTTACCTAAGCCTGAAGACGAAACAACCACTAAAGCTAATTTTGCTATTGAAAGTGGCATTCCATACATTAATGCAATTTCTACAGGAGTTGTAAATCAGACAAGTAGTACTGTACAACTCGGTGTAAACGAAAAACTGGAGTCACCTCATGTACATATTCCCCTACCTTCTTTGAACCACAGGTTTGGGACTGTAGCTACTAATATACCAACTGCGGAACAAGTATCAGACATGAACGGTACCGTATCAATATCACCTGGTTTGAGTGAGGAAACGACGATTGCAGAAGACATCCTTTCTTTAAATCAATACGAAACTACTGAACTGAAAGAACGAGGGAGCAATGTTACTGGAAGTCAAACTACTAACGAAGAAAGTGATGTTATTAAAGAACAAGACATCGTTGGTACTATTACTCCTGAACCTGACTTATTCGAAAACTCCTTCACTGCTTCACCAGTAACAGAAAAGGACACCTCTCCTGAGACTGCTCACCACAGTACAACTCCAGAGAACGAAGACAGCGGTGTCACCGTGATACCAGATACTTCTCAGGGATACACGTCAAGTGCTCCAACATTTGAAACTAGTTCTATAACCCCTAATATAACAACAGTGATTGTTAGCAATTATACGAAAAACATATCTGATAATACAATTATAGCTATAAAGAAGTCAGACCTTTCGAAGCTAGTCCAACAAATAAGCAAAGAAGTCAAAAACAACAATATGGGGAAACCTCCCGCTGCTCCAACTACTGTTCAGGTGACAAAGAGTAAGGTTATTGAGATTCCAATAAATTTAGATGCTAACAGAGTAGAACAAGAACAGTTTAATGCTTCAGCAAAAGGTGAAAAACCGACGGAGACGGTGCGAATAACAAAAATCGTGACAACAGTAAAAGAGATAATGAAAACGCCTAATAATAATGCTAGTATTGTCAACGGAACTAAAAGCATAATTGCTTCTATAACACCAACATATCCTGTTAACAATTCAGAAGTCATTAAACAATACTTTAACGATAGTAACTCACCTCTTAAGAAAGCTATTATTAAAACAGAGACTATCACCACCATAAATCAAGTACCTACCGATACACTAGGCAACAGCAGCACTCATAGTAAAGAATATATTGCTAGCAAAACTAGTTTTTCAAACCTACAGGAGTCTTCTGAGAACACCTATGATCCTGACGTGCCTCATAGACACACATCTGAAAATAAAAATTATGAACCTGAAAAGATTGGTTACAAATATAAACAGGCAGTTGCAATTGATAGAGATAGAGATAATGGCAGTGCAAAACGACAGAAAAGGAAAGTGGCAAGATCAAATGATGATAGAAGGTACGACACACTCTCTTCAAAGTACATAGCTGAGGAAGCTGATCATATCCAACCTGGGATAGGAATCATTCAAAACAAAGTGAACAGCAGTAGTACCGACATTGCGAGCATTGGTCTTACTAACGCGGACTTGGCAAGCAGATCTAAGTCCAGAGGTGGAAAATATGCATCTGAAACTGCACATCCCTTATATAAACGTGTTAATTCATCCAAAATTGAAAAGCCTTTGACAGGTGGAGATCCCGACGATACTACAAAATTACATCCAGAAAAACAGGCGTATATAAGTGAAGATAGAAGATATACTTTGTCTTCAAAGTACATATCTGAAGAAGCTGATCATGTTCAACCAGCAATAGGCATCATTCAAAATAAAATGAACAGAAATATTGCCAATATTAATGAGACTGGTTTAACAGAGGCTGATACGGCAAGTCAAGCTGACTCCAATAAAACTTATGAATCAGAAACAGCGAAACATAGGTATAAACGCGCTACTCGGATCCCAGGAAAAATCAGTTTTAGTAAGAGAGACACAAATGGTAACACAAAATCATTAGCTTCAAAGTATTTAAATGCAGAGCCTGACCACACACAACCTAGTGTAGGTATGGCGCACAACCAAAGTGGAGCAATTCTAAGTCCTAAAGTCAGTAATGAATTTGCTGTACACCAGCAACTAAACCATACCTTTGATAAATTAGCAAATAATGTAGCACAATACGAAACCAAAGTAAGCGCATCAGATGCCATAAAGTCAGAAGAATTTCCAAGAGAAGCTTATCCAGCAATCACTCGTGATGAATCTGATATCGGTATCCAAAACAAGATATACAATAACCCTGAACTTCCTCTTCCATCGTTGCCAATTCGGGTCATCCAAAATGAGATTAGTAACGGATTAAACGGAAACGATGTTGACGCAATGTTTGTGGAAAAGGGAGTAGGAAAAGAAAGCATTGAGTTCGCAGCAAAGTATGAATCTCCAATTGATACAATCAATGAGTTAGATATTTACCATCATGAAAGAAGTGAGAAGTACCGCGATCAGGATGCTTCACGTAAATTCAAAAACTCACAACGTCAAATAATAACAACAAAAGTCCTAGATAGAGAGATGGAGATGGTCACAACTGTTTCTAAACCAAATGTCGTAGGCGTGGTTGTCAATGTAGATACTGTGAATAATCCTGAATTGCCTCCACCACCGTTACCTCTAAGAGACATAATGAGAGGCATCAGAGATGGTAGTTTTGATCTTCTTGTTGGGAAGCTGGACAGTGTAGCTGATGAAATCGACATTTATCAACACCAGCATGTATCAACTACGTCTGAAGCAAGTACATCTCCAAAAAGCTGAGGACCTCAACAGATTGGGATATATTTAAAGCTTGATAAAAGCTATGTTACATATCAATAATAATAATTATAAATGCATATTGATATTAATAAAAATAATATATATACATATATATTATAACACATATATTATAATATACAGCGTTCATTAACTTACACCCCACTGACTAGAAAATGCTTCTACTAAAACAACGTATTTTGTGACACCGTTGATAACCCAAGGATTCTCTGGGGTAACTTTTGAACAAGAGAAGAGAAATGGTCGAATTCTCTACTGGGATTGCACGACAATGGAACAAACAGAATTTAACACCCGTTCCACTTCTTATAATAGTGTTTCGTTTAAGAAACTCCATTGAAGTTGCATTTCAGGTTGATGCCATTGATTAAGGGAGAGATTATAAGCAAGGTTGGTAAAATATCTAGTCTTCAATCCGCGGCTTGGCACTGGTAGATTTCGATTCTATTGTTGAAGAAAGGGAAGTGACAAAATGTTCATGTTCATCCCAATAAACAAAAATGACAACGAACAAAGACCAAGAACCAAAACGACCGACACCAACACACAATATGTTCTCCTCCGGAGTCGTTATTTCTGAAAAAAAAAATATATGAGGTTTAAATTACTGCAACGTCATCGACTTTCGCCCACGTTCTCATTTTGAGTTTATTTCCAAGATGCGATTTTGACAAGTCTTTAAAAATTTATTTACTTAATGTTTGTTCCAATTTTGTCAATAAAACGTAGCAATACTTTGCATAGTTTTTCAACACAGATCCAGTTTTTGATCACCTTACCATTGTGTAACATCAAATACTAGCACCATTCTCACTGACGGAGTAAGTAAAAAGACTTCTAATCAATTGAACATGGTTGCTATTTACTATTTTGAATTTGTTTTTAGCTCCTGATGATGGCAGCATAGTCTGTCAAAAGCTTGATTATTGTAAGTCAAAAGGGTACACTTAGCATAATTGGTCGAGGTCTTCTAGCCATTTTATTCTACAATGTGTAGGTTGGCCCTTATTGGGGACTTCGTGTGTCATTTTTTCCCCTGTCTTTTTGCGTTTCCTCAGGTTACACCCGTATCGGGATGTATGGGCATGTATATCTATCTACATTTGTGGTTGCATATGTGCATTTATTTCGGGCCTGATGAAGCCAACAAGCAGAAATATGTATTGCTCGGGTTACCTATCCTATTTGCTGCTCGAATACACTTTCCTTCTTTTTGAGGATTTTGCCCATTATTTTTCTATTTTTTGTTATATACCTTTCTCCGCATGATCATTTTCTCTATATATATATAATAAAATACCCATCATTTTAAAGTTGAAAGTTTGTATACCTTTCATTTTTTCACTTGATTTATTTGAAACTTTGTACAAATATTCTATACTTGTGATATAGCTTTCGTCCGTTCGATCACAGATAACCATGAACCACTGTTTCGTGCTTTTTGGCAACTCATCAGAATGGTATCAAGTAGAACAACGAACGAAAGGTGAGTAACTACCCTCTATCCCGGATATAAGATCTATCAAAATAAGACAGCACAAAGTGTCATCCATTCCAAGAATCGACCTTTACGGTCAACCGGTTGTCAAATGCGATCTGGAATATAGTTCAAACAGACAGCCTGTTATTTCACTACCTAGATTCTAGGAGTAGATGGCACTTGTGCTGTCTTATTTCAGATGTTCTGTAGTGCAAATAATGAAATACCCTGCAGTTCAAAAAACGAAATGTGTGCTTTTTCAAAAATCATCCCTTAAGAGTTAAATGTGAAGTAAGGGTTGAAATTATGTGGAGCTAAGGTCTAACCATGCGAAACACCTATATTATGGGAGAAACAACCATCAAGATAAGCTTATATTATATAATCAAAAATAAAGCCGAATATCTGGGATTTTAGACTACTTAAAAAATGAAAAACTCGATAACTCGTTATCACTTTTTCATTTGGTTATAGGCTGATACAAACAGCTTACAGTCCGTATAGTGACTTCATAGCTAAATTGAACGTTCAACCGCTATTATCAGTGGACATAAAACGTGACGAGCATGAAGTTTCAGTTATCAGTTTTACTGATTCAGAATATGATTTTGATAATTACGCATGCTTACCTCAGCCAAATCGCATTTGCTTGAAAATAACTTTTTCCGCTATATGACACGTTGGTAAATAGAATTTAATCTGTAGTAAAAGTGCCAAGATACGCGTCATGAAACTTATACTGGTAAGTTTGAGATTGTCAATCTTCGACAGTTGTTCTCGCCACACTTCATTGTACTAAACCTGGACGTGCCAATGATCAAATAATTTTACATAATTTATGAAAAAAGTCATTCAAGAAAAAATCTACAATCTTTAGAACATTTTGGCTAATTTTTGGAATATACTTTTTTTTAATACGTCAAAACATTGTATTGGGAATAACTAGTTAAAATAAAAGAAAGGTCTCGTTGACTTTTAGGCTGTTTATAGATTGCAAATGCTCGACTATTTACTGCTACTGTTGCTAACTAAAATATATATTGAAGGTATTTCTTGGGGTGACTTGTGCTTGTGGAAGCACTTTGAATATACCAGATCTTTCTCCTCTGGCAAAAGTTAAAGAAATAGTTGTACCAATTAACAGAATTCCGATTGATGAAGAATCACACATACTGAAAATTCCACCTAAGCAAAAATTCCCAGGATCTACAGCTGCAGCGCTGTTACCTGCACTTAAACCTACTATGGATATCAACATTGAAGAGGCTAAAATAAATCCTCCAAGTAGACCAGAAATTGGAGCACTTAAAATTATTTCCCTTGGAAAAAGGTCTTACAAGCAAAATGATGCAGATGTCCCTGCAGATAAATCAAATGAAATTTTGCCAGAAACTGATGCTGAGGCTTTCCAAAATGCCAATTGTGATGCATTCGCAGGAGAAACCGCTAAAAATGAAGTTTCTGATAAAAAACTCGCTGAACAGGCAACTAATATTTCCAAGAAGTATTCTCTGATTAGCGAAGACGCAACGGAAGATCCCGTAGGTACAGTTACTGAAATTATTACATCAGGAAAAACACTCCTAGACAAATTTTTGCCTGAGGAGGTAATCAATGAACACGTTTATAAATCAAATTCAGATGAATCTGCAACTGAACTAACAACTGAATCAATAAAAGAAACTACCAAAAATGGATTTTCTAATAAAGCAGAGGATTATGTAGCTACAATAGAAAATACAAGAAAAGGAGAAACTTCAGGAGAATCTCACTCAGTAAAGAGGGTAGAATCTACGTCTGAATCTTCAACTAAAATGGAAAAGGTGGTAGCATCTGTAGAAAGATCTGGTATGTCTGTAGCAACTAAAAAGAGTATTAAGGATGAAGCGATTGCTCAAATCCAAGAAGCACAAGACGACCTGAGGTTTGGTGTAACTTCTCCCAGAAGGGTAACACATGGCAGAGGTAACGTTTATTTTAGATTTTCATATTTATTCATTTTTCACCCAAGATCAAATGAACCTATTTTTAAAGCATGATGTCTGCACTAAAGTCACTATTTTTGCCAACGGAAAACGGAGTCATGATTCACTGTTTCCCTTCCTCTCACGTTATGGATATCGCGTGCTGCGTGTTAAAACATTTTCATTTAAAAATTCATTTGCAAAAAAAGGTTTTAAATACGTATTCGTAAGTCATATTTTTCGAAAGCTGCATACTCAACCAAGTATGAAGTAGTGAGGAGAAGATAAACCCACGCGCATGTGATCAGGCTATCTCTCTCGCACACGTGACGTCACTGGGAGACAACAATCTCGAGAGACGTTCAGATGACATTTAGTTTTATATGACGCCTTAGCTTGTTGTTGATGTTTCGTTTGATTAGTTTGTGATCTGGTGTGTTTTAAATAAATCTGCATCTAAAATTGGAAGAAAAACGGTTAATTCAAACATTGAACTATGGTGTACTGTGCAGCGGTGGGTTGTAAAAATAACAACAAGAAAAGCAGACACGACACTTTTCAACCTGCAGTTTCTTCCATGTTCCAAAGGACAAACAAGTTTACGAACAATGGGTGTTGAAGTGTTATCAACAACACAAATTCAATACGGAAAATGTAAGAATTTGTTCGAAGCATTTTAAGGAAAGCGATTACCGTTTAAAAGTGAAGCTGTTGGGATTACCTGAAAAGAAATGGAAGTTGAAAAGTGATGCAATACCCTCTCTTCATTTGATCAAATCACCAAAGGCTGAGTCTCCTCGTAGTATAAAAATGAGAAAAAGCTTAAATAGGGAGCTTGTACAATCAATTGATCCACAACTAGAGGTAGAAATAGCAGAAGTACAAAATGAAAGTGAGAGAGACGAAGATAATATTCCTAATAAAAATAGAACTGTATCCACTCAAACAAGGTAAAAAATGAATAAATCATATAATAAATAATTAATCATGAGAATCAATCATCTAACTATCTATTTTATTTTAGTGAATGGTGAACGCATCATAACTCTCGAAGTTGAAATTACAAAGTTGAAGCACTTACTTCAAGGAGAAATGAATGGAAAGGGAAAATTTTCAAAAATTTTCACTGAAGGACAACTTCGTAAGCTGAAATCTACCAAGCAAATCCATAGGAGTGTTGGAGATCTAGCTTCAGCTATTTCCTTATACGCAGGTGGTCCCAGGTCATACCGCTTACTCTTCCTGCAATATCCACTTTGAGAAAATAGGCTAGTAAAATAAACATTCAACCAGGTATTTAGATAGATAGGTATAGATTTGTATTGATCATTTGTCTAGGTATACTTGAAAGCATACTGTGTATTAACAATTGTACAGCTATAGTTGCTTCCATGAAGAGTAAAACCATCAGGGTTGCTTCTCACAAATTTTAGAAATTTGAATGTGTAATTTGGTGAAAACATTCCAGGTTCTACAACAGTGTGTGTGCCAGATTCAGTATAGCTTGAACCAAAAATAAGCCTAATGATTTCTTCTTAGCTATCTCATGCCATGTTTAATGTCATTTTTATTCATTTAGCATTGTTGATTGTTTATTAATTCTTATAGGTAACTAAGATTAACTTAACTTATAACTACTTCAATTTTTTTGAGGTATACTTAACTCAGTTCTGACACTGATAAAAGTCAGCTCTGCCAATGATGTAAAAATAATGTGTCCTACTCTTTGATGAAATGAAAATCCAAAGCTTTTATGAATATGATAAGAGGAGTGACAGAACTAGAACCCAGTAAATATGTGCAAGTTGTCGTGGCTCGTGGAATATGTGGAAGGTGGAAGCAGCCCAGTTTATGCTATTAATTCTGATTTAGGAGGTAGTAACAGGAGACTATGTAAGTCCTTGAATATAGCAGAAGAAAGAACACGGTTCACAAATCCAGGGAGCCAAAAAAGAGTACATGTGTTTGTAGATGCACCACACATGATTAAACTATTGCGAAATCACTTTCTTGATGATGGTTTTATTATGAACGAAAAGATTATGACGACTAAACCAGTTGTAGATTTACTCCAAAATACACAAAATTTAGATTTAAATATTGCACATAAAATCAATACCAAGTTCTTAACAGTTAAGGGTGCGCAACGACAAAAAGTAAACCTTGCAACCAAATTGTTCTCACATACAGTATCAACAGCAATATCAAGAGTATTTTCAAAAGTGAAAACAATTAGCTTGAATGTTCAGAGTTAATACAGATCACCAATGACTGGTTTGACGTATTCAATTCCAGAAAACTTCAAAGTGATTTGAGAGAGCGTGTAAAGGTATATGGGTTGGCTTTAGTTGAGCAAAATAAAATTTTAGACTCAACGGAAAAAGCAATGCAAAATCTGAAAACAGTCGGCTACAACACGTTACCGTTCCAACGAGGTATCATAATCAGCATACAGTCTTTGAAGCAACTTTTTTGACATGAAAGAAGATTTCGGTATAAAATATCTATTAACTTATAATCTGAATCAGGATCACTTAGATGGTTTTTTTTTCAACCATTAGAGCAATTGATCACCCCACTGCTCTGCAGTTCAAATATAGACTACGCAATTACATCATGGGACGGAATCATGACATTAATGTTTATGAAAATGATGTTGATGACTCTGAACTTGTTACTGGACAAATGTTGGAAGTTTTAAATGTACCAAATGATGATGAACCTGATCAAAAACATTCTGATGCTAAGAAAAAAATCATTGACAATCATCTTCAAGAACTAGAATGGGATGAATTAGAAAATTTGGCGGGGTATATAGGATATAAACTACAGAAAAAATAAAATTTAGGTTTTATTCCAGATGGCAGTGAAACATCATTTTCCTGGGTAAACCATCTCTCCGAGGGTGGTTTATTAAAACCAAACGCAGATTTTCTGGTTAAAAACTTGACCATATTTTTAATACTTTTAATGAAGAATCATTGATATTAACCAAAAACTATCTAACATCGTTAATGGATTTAGCTACATCAGTTAGCTTGAATACAGATGCCAAGCATATTCTTTTTCGCTGTAAGATGTATTTTAAGATACGGGTTTTGAACAGGGACATAAAAGAAAAATCTCGAGTTGGGAAAAGGAAAATGGTAAAAATTGCACAATAAATCAAATCAAACTTAATGCGACTAAAGGTGCGATTATAGGGAAAACTCTGGTGTATTATGTTTTTTGTTTATACCGATGAATATTGTAAAATTTAAATTAAATAAAACTGTTTACTAATAAAAAAGGTTTTTTTGGCACCTATCCATACAAAAAATTGAAAAACTATGTGAGTAGACTATTTACACAACATTTTATAAAAACATAAGCGACATGTATCTATTTTTTTTTCTGCTGGAAAAATGCACAAATTTGTTAAATTAGTTGTTTCTACAGATAAAGTGAGTCCTTTTATTTAAAGTTACAACAAATTTTAGTTTCAAAGGCTGGTGGCATGTTTTCAATCGATTCTTGATCCATTCAGTCATTAGCGTACTGTTCATTTTTCAAAAGCCATAACTCTTATCTATAATGATATATTCCAACGCGCGACCCGCCTGATCCCTACTTGCGGCTCCAAATATTGCTAAATAATTCCATAGTGGTGGCTCTCTTTTTCTTTATTTTTCCATCTTGTTGCCTTGTCTCTGAGCTTGCCGATAGCTGATATACTCCATTGAATTCTATTGACAAGTACATCAAAATATAAGTAATAAAATTTATATGATACTAAAATAATCATGTGAAATCGAAATCATAACAAAATGTAAATCAAACATCCCAAATATTAAGATCACAGCGCATTCCGTACTGCGTGCCAAACAATTGTCTCCGAGTGACATCATGGGCAAAGGCGTACGAAATTCGATCGCGAGTCATAAGCTTTGTCCCAACCTTTAGTGCTAGCACAGCCGACGTCAACTACGAGCCGTGATGAAAGAAAGGCAACACCGCGCTCGGACGGCATGGTAGTGCTACCTGTGAACGTCGGCCGCCAGCGGCTGTGTGCTCCGTCTCCGTGTAACGTTCAAGAACTAAATTTAATTTTGGAAAAGAGGGCAGTTCGATTCGATACAAATCGTCTGAATATGAAATAGCTCTAAAAATTTTAAAAATACGAAATAATCGTGATATATATGAGTCGCTAATGCAGTTAACCTAATTAAAAGTATTTAGTTTACGTTTTTTGGTGTCAGCACACTGTGTTCCAACAGGCCCAGCTTGGAAATGTGGAGTTACCTGTTTGTTTTTAATACATTTACTTTCAGTTTTACTGTTATTTTTCAATTTTACATAATCATTCAAAATTATGTTTGAAAAAATAGACAAAAGCTTAGATAAAATATCTGCATAATTGCGGCCACAGATGCAAGTTAAAGAAAATTCACTGTATATAAAGTCAGACTGAATGCTGAGCAAGGTTAACTGACACAAAATAAATTTTTGATTATTGCTTTTCAAGAAGAAAATTTCCAATCTATCTACATTAATAATAGATTCAAAAATGGCATACATATGGTAGAATATGATTGGTACATAACTGGTTGGAATTGACAGTCCTCCTCTTTGCAAATGATCAAAATAAACATTTGTTGTTAATGAACCTTTTTCTTTAACTATTAGCGATTTGCATATCTCGCAGTTTAGGTTTTTAGAGATAGCGTGTGAAGCATATCCAGATATACAGGGTGACTTCGAAGTTGAGTCATTTACTTTAACAGTGAGTAGATCTGATCAAAAGAAATGTTTTTTCCTTTACCATTTTTCTGGTAAAATTAAAGTAACAAAGTTATAGCCCTTTGGAAGTTTGAGTACCGCCCTGTCTCAATAATAATATGTTCGTGTTTGGCGACAACGGATATAATCCGCCTGACCGGTTCATCGCATCGGAAACAAAAAAGCGAAAGAATTTGAAACGTTTATCACGATGTTTTTCGTCAGTCGATAACGCGTTAGTGAATAGTAGTGTTTGTTGCGTGGCTCAAACGAAATCAAAAATGGCACATGTTTACGAAAATGCTGAACTTGTGGACATGATTCTTATTTACGGGGGGCAGTCTTTACAAAATGCTCCCGGATGCATCACGGATTTATGCGAATCGGTTTCCCAATCGAGTGCAACCAACCCCTCGTGCCTTTGTTAATGTAGTACAAAGGGCTCGTGAATCAGGTGACTTAAGACCTCACAGGTCAGGGCATGCTGCTCCAAGACCGCACGATCAAATACAGGTCCGCACTGAAATACTTGTCGGGACGATACTTTATTAAACAAGGTAACGTTTTTTTTATTTATTTTTTTATTTTTACACACATATTTTGGTTTATCTTCCTTCTACAATCATTATCTGAAAATTAATGACTCAACTTCAAAGTCACCCTGTATAAGTCTTAGTACTATCCTCTATGTCACAATTGGCTAAGTAATTTGTCTCAAATACTTCATTGAATATATCCAAAACTTCAGGATTTTGTTTGGTATCCAAGAAATCAAAATTTTCTTGAGTTTCTAAGCAGTTTTGGAACCTTGTTTTAATTTCTGCTAAAGAAAATGACGATTTCTTTTCATTGAAAATATGCTTCAGCCGTATTTTCTTTTCAGCATTTAAAATTTCATCATATGACACATTGTAATTGCAGCCACATAAATGTCTATAATTGCCAAATCGTTTTTCTAAATTATCAGTGGTGAATTTTCCAGGCAATACATACTCAATGTCAAATTGATTAAATGAATATTCAATTATATTAAGTAGAGTCAGCGTGCTTTGATATAGAGCTGTATACGTTTCTGGTGTCAGGTGTCCATTATTATTCTCTAGATTATGCCATTTTTCTAACCATATCAGGAATTTTTTTAAAAATTGTACTCTATAATCATATTTATTGGTAATAGGCTTACAAAATTCGTTTCGCTTCAATTCTCCTTTTATTACACTTGTATTACTGACAATATCCCACCAATTCCTGATTATTTCTAAAAAGTGTGCAGCATCATTAAACTTTAATTCTTTCATAGCAGCTATTGTTGAGTGATGGAATAAATTATCTACAAAATTTACATTTTGCCTTTCAAATGAATTTGGATGCAATGTTTTATAATTTAATTTATATGCTTTCTTAACTACAGCTTCTTTTTCCAATTGATATACAGCACGAATGTTTTCAAATTTAGCATACTGAATAATATCATTATTTTTTAAATTAATCCAATTATTTCTGATACTCTTGAAAATATGCACAACATCATAAGTTAAATATATGTTCTTAGCAGGATTATGTGGATTTGGAATAGAATAATTTTCTGACGAATCCTTTGCTAATTTCCTGAACATTGCTCTATTAATTCGGTGATTATCAGTAACAACACAAATAACTTCAAATCCACATTTTTGAACTAAATTTATCACATGTTCAACCAAAGGTGTCATTTCATCACCTGTTAGATTTGAAACTGGTAGTAATTTGATAATTTCTGTTATGTTTCCAAATGCTGAAGATAGCATGAAGGCTAAAACATTTTTAGCCATGTCATTTTTATTTGTAGCATACCCAACAATGTTTTGTGAGCGATAGTCCAGCCTAGATGTTATATAAATTTCATCGATCATCAAAATTACAATTTTTTCCCTTGGAGCTAATTTAATTGCTATATTCGAAAGGTAGTGTTCATTATTCCTATCATTTTTTGGAGATATATCCATACTTGAGGAGATATGTTGTAAGTATCGCTTACTTGGCAAAATAAAAAATCTTTTAATTAAATTATATGTTGATGATGAGTGGTTATAAAACGTAAAAGCCATTATTATTGAAAGTGATGCATATCTGTTTTTCCTGTTTTGAATTTCTCTCAGCTGATCAGCAATAATCTCTAGATTTTTTGTATATGGAAACATAACTGAGGCATTATTAATTATGGAAATCGCTGTGTCAAGTTGTTCCAATACATTCATGATGCAAACTTCAACAGAGTTTTTGTGTTGGTTCTCAGAAAAATAGAAAAAATACCTATTTAGCAGGTTTTCTAATTGGGACCATCTGATAATTTTGAGATCATATGGCAAAACCCAGTTCAAGTCACTAAAAGAAAGCTTACATCCTTTATGAACAACCTGAACTTCCATCTGACCATCAACTATAATCTGTTTATTCAAAGTTAAGATATCACTTTCAAAATCCAATTTATAAAAATATAGCTTTACATCAGATAATTTATTATTCCATTTCTGTGAGGCTTTAATTTTTGAAAATGAAGTATGTAATTCTTGAAAGTCTTTGATCTTATCCATATCATCGAAATTCTGGATAGCTTTTTCATGTTTCTCAATTAATTTTTGTTTTCTTTGCATTGGGTCAGTTCTTTTGGGTGCTTCAGTTTTTGAAAGATATGATGGCAAGTTTGGTAAAATGGAGGGATCAGCATTTTCTTTCAATTTTGGATATTTCAAAGGTATATTATTTTGGACTGTTCCATCCGCCAAAACTATATTTTCTGTCCTGATGATATCCGATTCTCTAAAATGACGACTGCACACAGCTGAATATTTTGAAGGTGTCCAATTTTTTTTGGGAATTGCCATAAGCCATTTGTTTTTCAGACTTTCGGTACTTGGGAAGCGAAAAGTTGAAACATAGCTTTCTGTTTTCAAAGCAGAGTTATAGTTTGCATTGCATAAAGGAACACAGCAACAACGAGGCATATTGTCTGCGTCAAATACTTGATAAATGAAAAAAAAAAAATACAACCTGAATTTGCACGTTTTCAATAGTTGAAATCCTTATCGTCCTGAGGCGCGAACAGCCACAGCCACACTTCTTAGTTTATTCTTATAGCACAGAAGCACTACAACTGGAGTCTATTTCTCATATAGTCACCGATCACTTTGAACACATACACACACTTTGAAGCTTAGAAACAAGCTTATCTCTTAATTACAGCCTCTGGGATTCCCAAATCACAAATTGAAAAGGTTATGTTTTCTCAGCGTTTTGAGCACGAGTTGCGTCGATGCAGCAAGCAGCGGCGGGAGTAACACTACCACCTACGTTGCCAGATTTCTTTGTTCACGGCTCGCAGTTGACGTCGGCTGTGGTGCCAGTATCGTACCAGAACTCTTCAATTATCGTGAGGTACCCTGTTACACGCATGCGCGGCCTGTCGTGGTTCTAGGATCGTTTCTGGACTGTAAAAGGTGTTAGAACGGATTCGGAATCGTTTTGTGCCTCGATATTGACAGGATAGCCAATGTTGCCTGATTTACCAATTTTTCGACCTAGCTATGAGGAGCTTTAGATTTTCTATTTATTTCGCTTAAATAAAGTTAAATCGTAACATTAACTTATTAGACGGTAATTTGGAGTTAAAATAAATATTAAATATTTTGGGTGTAACGTTTGATCAAAATTTGAGATGCATTCCACCTGCAACAGCATTATTCAAAAATTATTACTATGATATTACTTATATTACAGTTGCCTGGACTGTGATAAAGATGCGTTTGCGATAAATTCAAAATCGCTGATGTAGATTTGTTTATGGACTAAAAAATTTGATCATATATCAGCAACGATGAAATAAAATCCGGTCGTCTTCACTATCCGAAAACAATTCAAAATCGATGTCCCCTTCGTCGTCACTACGCATCGCGATGAAGAATGTCGAATCATTATCTTTTTTTGTAAACACTGGCACACACGTTCAATCACTATCCAAGCAAGGAGGTTTGGAGGTTAGCCTTAGAAGAAATCACCTGACAGTAGCTCTTCTGCGCATGTCACTTCCTTTAGTTCTCGCTTCAGATCAGGTACCGATATGACCGTAACAAAATCGTCCCAAATCGATCCCAAAACGGATTGGAGCACAAGGCAGAACCGTTCTGTTACTGTGACGAACAAGGTTGGAATACTTTTTCCTAAATGCGCCAGCGCGTCACCGTTCCAGCACGGTTCTACGACGGGTTGGGACAAAGCTATACTCGTACTATCATGTAGTGAGGGTACTATGAGAGCAGCGTTGCCAAACCTACCAATTTTTGAGACCTTATTTATCGAAATACCGGAAACGTCTTCATTTTCTACGATTTTTCAAAATAATTCTCTTGTGTGGTTGTGTGCGTGCGCGCAATACAATTTTTTTTTTCCATAGACGGCTCTACGTGACTCAAAGGCCGTTGATCCACTGTTGATCTTGAGACGGCAGATATTTTTTCCTCCTATCGATTTGGTTCTTGAATTTACCGAATTCCAATGGCACTATCTACCGATTTCGTCTTTTTCGGTTCGGCAACACTGTCTTAGAGCGATATATGTCTATAGAAAACTTAATATTTGCACCTCTTTCTTAAATTCCAGCATCCATCAGATGTTTAACTTGATAATTGAAGACACAAGTGGATACAGGTGACATGTAACAAAATCACTGTATGCATAAAATTTACTCTAAACATTTTTTATTGGGACTTTTTACTTCATTGACATTTCAAATGTTTAGTTTAATTAGTTTGTTATTATCTTGTTTTTGCAACAAAGTAATCGCATAATGAAAGAATCACTCCTTAAGGTTAGTTTAATGCAAGAAAAGCAATTTAAAAAATAATGTTACATGAAACCTTTATCCACTTGTGTCTTCAATTATCTTTTGATGAAATGTATGTCAACTCAGTTTTGGTTGACTATGAAATAAAATAACTTCTTGAGCTTGTGGAGTGCAAATCTTTTCAATACTCATATTATTCCAGGAAAATGGGTCCATATTCCATCTGGAATGCTGTTTGCAATTGGACCACAACACATATACGTAGGTTTTGCAGGTGAAGAGTTGAACAAAGAGCCAAATCATAAGTCAGTACCACCAATTCGTGACTCAGGACCTAGGGAAAGAAATGGTATGGCTTTCGTATCGGAAGAAGAAAAAGCAATACAGCGTTCGGGCCAAATATTAATGATCCTTTCGCTGGGCATACTAGCAATGGACTTACTAGAAACTGCAATTAACGTTATAGAGTAAATACCTTTTGTTCTATTCTTAGATGATAATAGGCATTAATGTTATATTACTAATTATATTTAACTTATATTTTTTATACAAATTTTGGATTTTTCACAATCAATTCCTCATATACGGGACTCGTATTAATATTTCGCTTCCTTGGAATGCCAATGAGTATTGATGATTATATTTCCCATAGAGATATGGATCCTGTCTTTTTTCTCCAAAACATTTGGGTAGACATAGTGGATATGCAGGGATTAAAAAATTTCTACTGTACTTCTGTGGGTGTTTTATTTTTCTGTAATATAATGCAATGATCTCACGTCTTCTTGCATAAAAAATATAGTAGATATATTGAAATGCATCGTATGTAATGAAATATGCGTGCAAAAAGATAAATATATATGGAGTTAAGTACGACCATGTAGATTACAATCAGCCCATAGTCATCACCCATGAGCGATTAGGCGGTAGGCACAGACAGGAGTTTGTGCGCATAGGTACAAGTGCTACCGAGGCACAACGCCTCGGTTTCATATTTCTCCAGTTATTGGGCAATCTATGATATAATATGTACTAATATATGCGTAGAATTACCGGGGTTGGAAGCATATGAATATCCTACCGCCAAAAAATTGAGATATACTCTCTCCCACCACCTACAACCCCCATTTTCTTCCTAAAATGATCAGGAGCGTCTGAAACGTCAATAAACGAAGTTCAAGTGATTTTCGTTTTTTTTTTTCGTTTCTTATCCCACCGCCACTGGAGTGATTTTCAAAAACTGTACGGCTTTTCCGTCCTTGGCACATTAGTGACATCGTGTAGAAATTTCTTCGAAATCCAGACACTTTCCATGCTGGGAGCAAACATTCAAGAGATGACTCTTTGGACTATTCTAATATCATATTGTCCTGTGGTGATTTTCGAAATAGCATTTTGATTCAGAAACACTGGCTCCTGAAGTACGCTACTGGAGATCAGTTTTTGTTGAATAACTTTTGAACAACACTTCATTATCCAACACAATTTCGGCAGCATGGTAACTAAATAGTTGAGGCCTCACATGGCGGTATCCACATAAAATGTGTTGCTGTAGACCAGGGCTGTCCAACATACGGCGCACGGGCCGCATGCGGCCCGCGAACTCCTTTTTTGCGGCCCGCTTCACGGGTCATGTATACATTAGGGTGGGTCAAAAAATTTTTTTTTCGGTTTTGAAAAAGGCTCAGTAATAAAAAGGTGCCAAATGGTGCCGTTAGTTCATATGTAAAATTTTATTACATAATTCTGAGTTTTATTGCCTCCGGATTGTACTAAAGCATTGTGTGTACGTAAACTTCTAGCGTCTCCTCGGGCGTCACTTTACTAATTCTTTATGCATCTTCGATTATGGTTCCTGTTACTTTGGTTGCCTAAGCGTTAGTGTTAGCTACTGTTTGGTTGAGTTCAAGTAGCCAGGGAGAGGGAGGGGTAAGAGTGGGGGTGTTAGGTAAGACACACGGGTAAGACAAGTCGCGCACAGTTCATCGCAATCAGTATCTTGCGTTAGAAAGTGCGGACGTGTAAGTTTCGCTGTCAGAAAAATGGAACGTACTCGAAATAGTTGGAAGTGTCCGATATTTGGTGATTTAAATGACTTGAAAGACAACGTATTGCCAACCTATGGGGATGTAATGCGATTTTATGAGTGGACCCGACACAGGTTGAAATACGAGAGAGAAACAAATAAAGAGCCAACATATAAAGAAATAGAGGCCATTGTAGTTGCAAGACTGATAGAAATATGGGCAAAATCCTCTATCCCTACAGTTGAACCCAAACGAATGAAGGTAATGTTACAAACGTATCACTTAAAATGCAAAAATCTCCTCAAATCTAATCCAAGAATACCTAAAAACACGTTGGAAGGGTTTCGTCTTGGGAGTAAAGCCTTGTTTGATATTTCGGCTTGCAAGTGTCAAGAGTTTCTCAAATGTGCTTGCCCGAAAAACAAGAAAATACCTGCAAGAGAACGTGGCTTTATAACTGATCATATATAGAAAACGCATAGTTGAAGAGCACATTTCTTTGATAAAAGAACCTTATTCGGAGTTTTTAGGCTATATTACACCTGCTTCAGGCACTGCAAAGTGTATAGCAAATGAAATATTTGACTTTTTCTTGAATGCTGATATATCCGTCGATGATTTAACTGCAATTGGATGTGATGGAACTAATGTGAATGTTGGCATATATGGCGGTATTATACGACTGCTAGAGAAACGGTTAGGTAGACCCTTACAATGGATTATTTGTTTATTCCATATGAATGAACTACCATTTAGACATCTGTTCCAATATATTGATGGTAGTACCTCTGGACCACGAACATTTTCAGGAACGATTGGCAAAGATCTCGAGAACTGCGAAAAAAGACCTATAAGCAAGTTTAAGCCTATTCCAACGAGCTTACCGGAGCTTTCTGCTAAAGATATCAGTTCTGACCAAAAATACTTGTAAAGAATGGTTGAAGCAATCTCAACCGGTGTATTTCCTAGCGATTTGGCTAATAAATCACCAGGTAAAATGTCGCATGCGAGGTGGCTGACTCGTGCGAACAGGATCCTCTGTCTGTATGTTTCTGTAGAGACTCCGCCTGAAAGTCTAACTATTCTTGCAACGTATGTTATCAAGGTTTATGCTCCGATATGGTTTTCTATAAAATCTCATTCTAGCTGTAAAGATGGATCGCGACACTTTTTCAAACTCATCGAGTTATCCAGATATTTACCAGCAAATTTGAAATCTATCGTCGATCCAGTAATTCAAAGAAACAGCTATTTCGCACATCCGGAAAACGTATTGCTCGCAATGTTAACAGACTCTCAGCCGCACATTCGTGAATTAGCTGCACGACGCATTTTGAAAGCTAGATCAGTAACAACTAAAGATTTGCGCATTTTTAAGTTACCACAGATTAACTTCAATGCATCAACGTATTATGATCTTTAGAATTGGCAAGAAGATATCTCTGAGCCACCATTATTGAAATCTGTAACCGAAAAATATCTCCGATTATTTATTGAACAGAAAGGAGAAAGAGACTTGGATTTCTTACGCCTTCCTTGTCACACACAAGCAGTAGAAAGAGCAGTCAAAGCTGTAACCGAGGCCTCAACCACTTTGTGCAATAAGCTAATGAGAGAGGGATTCATCAAAGCCCAGATGGACTCGAGAAAAGCAATGCCAAAATTTGATAGCAAAAAGGATTTCTCTACAAAATAAACCCCTCGCTCAATGATTATTCATTATTATTTTTGTTGTAAACATTATTTTCTGTTCAATAAACGTTTACTTACTATTCATTCAAGACATTTATTTGTAAATTATATTCATTAGTGTGACTTTGTATGCCACGCAGTTATACCTCCTTTAACCCCATCTTTGACAATTTCCACATGATTCCGGAGGCAGAAGATTAATTCTGATTGCAATCAAACTTCATAACATGTTCACACTCATGATTTAGCACCTTTTTGTCACTGAGCTTATGAAAAAAAGGAACATTTTTTTTTTCACATATAAAAGTGACCCACCCTAGTATACATCACAAGTATAAATTACTCTCAAATACCGAATATGCATAAACCTATTAAAACTCAGTAATAATGTTGTATAGAAAGATTTTATAATGCGGCCCTCCAAACTGCATTTTTTTTGAAGTGGCCCTTGGGCCACTTTAAGTTGGACACCCCTGCTGTACACCGATTTATAGACTCTGACGCAGTGGCGCTCCCAGGATTTCAGTCTGGGAGAGGTAAAATGGAAAAATTCTCAGTGTGACGTACTGAAGTGTTATAATGATTTAACATTAAAAGCATGGACATATGCAGACATATGAATTTGTTACAGTAATTATAAGTAGATACAAATTAATATATGGCGCAACATCAACAAAATTGGATCCTTTAGGTTTAGCACCCGATTGTTCAACACTTAGTTCAGCATACGGTGCAACATCTGAACATTTTGAAGTGGAAGGCTCAGGTTGAATTGTGGGATCATCATCAGTTTTTTACGGTAATTGTTGTGTCGGTGGATCAGACAGTTTGTTTTGTTTAGAAAGGAACCAATCGATGGCATTCTGTTGATAATCGCCCTGTATAGGGCACTGATAGCAGCTGTCCCGTAATTTCGATCCGGAAAATTTTTTAGACGAAAAGCGAGATAACCGAGGTGTTTAATATGGAAACTGACCCAGGGGGGTCAGGAAATGGCGCTTCCACCATGGCAATGGAGATGGAGTCGAAGGAGCAGACCATAGAGGAGCTGAGAGCCGAATTGGAGATGGTTCGACAGGAGCTGTCAAAAAAGGACGATGATAAGAAGACCAATGAAAGATTGATGATGATCATCGAAGCCCAGCAGCGGACAATTACCGACCTAACAGTTAAATTAGACCTCCTACTGAAAACCCAGGTACCTTCCCATCTAAATATTACAAATTCTTCCCAAACACTTCCCAAAAATCCCAGTAAAGACAAAGCTGTCAATCTTAAGAGACCGTTAAATAACTCAAGCGATCTTTCCACAGACGACGATACACTCCCTGACGGTTTTACCAAGGTTAAGCCCCGTAAAACGCGACGAAACAAGACCGACACGACAGGCTTTCCTCCTCTCCCTTCACCAAAATCGCAGTCTGAAACATCTCATTCAACTGCAAGCGACTCGAATAAACAGCCTGTGCCTAATCTATCGGATACTTCCACGCCTTCGACATCTCAGGTACCAGAAGACACGACTGCACAGCCCCCACGCAAGGTACGTGTTACCCCCATCGTTCTTCGTGATGCTTCGAGATGGCGAGGCGTAAATCACAAGTTTATTTCCTTGGGCATCAAATTCGAACGCGCGGTTGCCGTCGATGCAGGAATCAGGATAATTCCCAAATCCGAGGATGATTACCGCAGGATTATTCGTCTCTTCAGGGAGGAAGAGGTGCCCCATTACACTTTCCCTCTACCCTCCGAGAGGAACATTCATGCTGTAATCAGAGGAGTACATGCGACACTTTCGGAAATTGAGATCAAGGAAGAGTTGCAACAGAGGGGATATTCCCCCCTGCACATAATTCGCCTGAAACGCGGTGGCGGCGTGCCCATGCCTTTGGTGGTAGTCATACTGCCCAAGATAGAAAAATCTCAGCAGCTGTTCAACGAACACGAGCTGCTAGGTTTGGCTATCCGAGTCGAAGTTCAAAAGAACTCAAGACTCATCGGGCAGTGTCACCGCTGCCAAAAATATGGGCATGCGCAATCTTACTGCACTGCACCACCTAAATGTCTAAAATGTGCCTCTGACCACATGACCCACTTATGCCCTCAAACACAACAAGAGGAACGAAAGTGCGCGAACTGTGGAGGGGGGCATCCAGCGAATAGCCGAACTTGCAGATTTGCCCCTAAGAAAAATCTGCAAGTGATAGCGCAAAGGCGCAATGTAAGTTACGCGGATGCAGCTAGGGATGCAACCCGGGCTGCCCCCTCTGTGGGATCTTCTGCGAACACGCAAAATGTGGACCTGGCAACCGCGCTAAGGTCCTTACAGCAGATCATAGGTCCTCTGATTAGCGCAACACAGGCTTTGCAGGCGATCTTTCCTGCAAATGGCTAGGTACAATCGACGACAGCCTGCATTTATCAAAATTCTTTTTTGGAATTGTTTGGGTCTAAGGGACATTCCC